GCTAAGCTAAAATGGGTTTTTTTTCGAAAACGACCTCTCCCTTTGTGCAGTCAATTTCCCAAAAAGTTGAATGAATTCAAAAACTTTTTGATTCCAAAATGTAGAGGAGATCTTCAGCTTTCGAATGGTATATAACACTCATATACATCTGTTCGATATCTTGAAAAATTTACAAAATAGTAAAAACGCGCATTCATAACTGAAAAACCCAATAGATTTCAGTCATTTTCAAAACTTTTACGCACTTTTGTTCAAGTTTTAGTGCTTTTTTGAGAATTTTTCTTCAAAAATCAATAGCTAATAGCTAAAAGTGAGAAAGGCATGAAGCTGAGTGCAAAAAAGCAATTGTTTAGATGAAAACAACAGCAATGAGTCATCTATTTGAAAAATGAATCGTCAAAATACATGCAAGAGTTAATTGGGTTGGCTCCTATTGGGTTGACTCTGTTGATCTTTGTCCCAAAATGGCGTCGAACTTTAAAGACACTTTTTGCAACCATAAGATCTTCTTTAAATACATCTTTTGTTTCATCAAAAGGCTTGACCATTTCTCTATAAAATGACTTTTGAGAGATTGCACAAAGCTTTTCTTTTGTGGTGTTTATCGACCCCCAAACACAGCTAATCAAAATGGCAACGAGTCCGAGAGTTGGCAAAGAGTCGATCGTTTGAACAGTTTCTTTCACATAAACCTTCTTTGGTGTCTACATAAAAAAGATAGAGCACATTCAATTACATAAGTAATTAAATTTTCAGAAAGATCCCTTCCATTGTTTTCTCTCGGTGATAGTTTATAGATTTTGTGTAAAAATGGGTTTTTTTGAATTGAGGCACTGTTTGAGTTCTCTTTTAAATGCCATTTTGTAGAGAATTAGCTAAGTTAAGTTCAGTTAAGTTAAATTTGTTAGGTATATCGAAAAACAAGTCGGGGATGACTTGGATTTACAATGTATGGGCAACTACGACACTTGGGCAGGCTGGGCATCGTTTGGATGGGGTGATCCGTGGCCAAACAAAACTGTTTTTGGGGACAAGTTAGTTTTTGAGCACATTCAATTACATAAGTAGTTAAATTTTCAGAAAGATCCCTTCCATTGTTTTCTCTCGGTGATAGTTTATAGATTTTGTGAAAAAATGGTTTTTTTTGCATTGTTTGTTGTTGTTGTTTTGATTGTTGATTGTTTTCTTTTCTCATTCTGGTTTTTAAAACCGTTTGCTTACTTGGTCTCAATTAGAATTTGTTCTTAACGTTCTTCTTAACGTTTTCGAAAACGTGTAAACTTTTGAAAATCACTGTGATCTTGTCTCTAGTGTTAAACAATATTTTACTTAAGCTTAAGGAACCAAATTTGATTGATAATTGGACGGCTTTATTTCTGGTCGCCCGGTAATCCCAAGATTGACTTTAATGTCAGAGCTATCGTATCTCATAAAAAGTGATTATTCTATCGATTTCTATGGTTTTCTAAAGATCCCCGTCGATCCCTATCGATTCCTATCAATTCCTATCAATTCCTAACAATTCCTAACAATTCCCATTAATTCCTATCAATTCCTATCAATTCCTATCGACTCCTATCGATTCCTAACAATTCCTAACAATTCCCATCAATTCCTATCGATTCCTATCAATTCCTATCAATTCCTATCGATTCCTAACAATTCCCATTAATTCCTATCAATTCCTATCAATTCCTATCAATTCCTATCGACTCCTATCGATTCCTAACAATTCCTATCAATTTCCATCAATTCCTATAGATTCCTATCGATCCCTATCAATTCCTATCAATTCCTATCCATCCCTATCGATTCCCATCAATTCCTATCGACTCCTATCGATTCCTAACAACTCCTATCGATTCCTATCAATTCCTACCAATTCCCATCAATTCCTATCAATTCCTATCAATCCCTATCCATCCCTATCCATCCCTATCGATCCCTATCGATCCCTATCGATCCCTATCAATTCCTAACAATTCCCATCAATTCCTATCCATCCCTATCCATCCCTATCCATCCCTATCCATCCCTATCCATCCCTATCCATCCCTATCCATCCCTATCGATTCCTATCGATTCCTATAGATTAATCTACCTTCATCCTCATCGTATTCTGTTTTTGCTAAATTTGATAAGAATCGAGGTAATTTACGGTAGCTTCCTGTAATTTACATGTTTTAGAAAAGCTGGAGGAAAATCCACTCCAAACAAATCCATTTTTAGACTTTTGCTTTTGCATTTGCTTCAGTTACATTTCTAATTTCCATCTAATTTCCATTTTCCTCCTTTTCCAAATGATTCATTACATCAAATGAGTCAAAAAAGATAACAAAACGTTAATCAACGATAAAAATAAGTTGGCAAGTGGCAAAAGTTTGAATAACATTGCAGCAAATCCACATTATTTACTCATTGAAAGTCATCAACATCATCATTATTATCATCAACACCATCAACATCATCATTACCATCAACATCATCACCCCAAAACTTGTTATTGTCAAATAAACTTGTTGTTGTCGAATGTCTCTTGCAAGTTAGTCATAGGAATATGCAAATTTTGTTGTTTAGAGGAGTGTTTCCGGTGAGAACGATGAAAATCGATACGTTTTTAGTCAAACGGATGCGTTGAAAGATCAGAATTGGCTAGGGGATAACTTTTTTGTACTAAAAATAACTAAAATCCTTTTTTTTGTACAGTTAACACACTAAAAGAAAGAAAAATCGAGGGCAAAAACGAGAGAAAACGCAGCAAATCGTCGCGATCTTTATTGATCTGAGGGTCGCTGGTTCAAGCCCCGCCTGTGACAAAATTTTCGACTTTTTTCCTTTCAAAAACGTAAGTTTCAATTTCTTGCGGTAATTTTCGATCCTGATCTCGGAAAACATGTTTTTAGGCTGGGTTTCAAGCAAAAAAAAACCAACGAAACGCTATTTTTGTACTTTTTAGGGTCTAATCTCTATTAAAATCCCTGTAAAAACTTTAAAACACAATGAATCCATAAACAATTTTTTTTTCATTGAATCCGCTTGATAATTAGCTTTTGAATGAGCTATTACACGTCAAAATTCATTGAGTTTAAGACTGTCTCCCAAAAAAATCGCACGAACTTTTCGTCGAATCCAATAGAATGGCTCGAGATTAGTCTAGATTTTGGCCAAGCTATAAGTTCAAAACTATTAGACTATTGTCTGTCTCCTAATCAAACATTAGGAGAGCCAGACAACATCAAGATAGAGCTACTCAAGGCTGGAGGAGAAGAAATACACAAGCTGCTGGCCGAACGCTCCACCACCTACCTCCACAACCAGAGGATGCCTGACCACTGGCGAGAAGCAAGAACATTCCTGCTCTACAAGAAAGGAGAGAAAGAAGACATCGGAAACTACAGGCCAATATCTCTGCTATCGGGCTGATTTCGATTACTTGAATGAGTGAGTTAAGAATATTGAATATTGAAATTGAATAGAAGTTTTAATATTGAAATATTGAGTTGGTGAATTGAAAACTCCGGGACTTTGAACTAAAATTTATTCAACATAAAACCATGAATTCATTCCAAACAATTTCCATTATTATTGACGACTTCTGCCCATTTTACAGGCAATTTGCGGATTCCTCTTTCGTAGTAGGATTTTGGTTTGTGTGTGAGACAAGTGTGAGACTCAAAAATGGAGGACTGGAGATGGAGACTGGAGATCCCAGTTTGAGCACTTCCTTCAAAAGAAACCCATTTTGGTGTCAATAGGAAAGTTGTAGAGAATCAAAAATTAGGCTTATAGCCAAATTTCCAAAAAGATACACTTAGTAGTTTCGCTTAAAATGCAAGTTTTGTTGCAAGTTTTGTGAGAATTCGTAAATTTCGCATTTCTTGAAAACCAGTTTTTGAATCGTTCTGAAAATTTGGATATAAGCTTGATTTTTGATTCTCTACAACTTTTCCATTGACACCAAAATGGGTTTCGTTTGAAGAAAGTTCTCAAACGGTCACATATGACAATAGCCCGCAGTTTCCAATTCACCAATCCAATATAAGTTCAATTTTAAGAGTAAGGATTGTTTTGGCTAAATTTGGAGGGGCTAGGAATTCAGAATAAACTCTGATCCAAGACAAGGCGCTTGTGTAATTTAAAACAAAATCTCTACAATGGATCTCTACAATGGATCTCTACAATGGATCTCTACAATGGATCTCTACAATGGATCTCTACAATGGATCTCTACAATGGATCTCTACAATGGATCTCTACAATGGATCTCTACAATGGATCCCTTTCATGGATCTCTACAATGGACAGAATTTTGAAAAAGCCAACCAATCTCCAATCAACTAATGTTAACATTTCTGCAAACTCTACTCTTCTTATCAATTAAAACTTTCCGTTTTTCATCTCTTTCTTTATCTCATTCTCTTTTCGTAATCTAGGATCCAATCAAACGACAGTTTTCTTGGCAATTTCTTGGCATTCTTGTTTCTTTTCTGTTTCCCTCAAATTCCTGGTTGTTAAAGGGGCACGAGCAACGATCCAAGGTCATTTGCATAGGGAGAAAGCGTCGAAAAAAAGCGCAAAAAGAAATTAGTTGGATCTTTTTGCTTTCAATGGTCTTTTTGGAAAAAAATCGAGCAGGGGTGTGATGAAAAAAAAAAGCGCGGCGATGGCAGGGACCGCCTCTCCTTCCTCTCTCCAAAATACCCATCAATTCACTGTCCACTTTCTGTTCCCCACACTTTCCGACGCAGCGAATACAACAAAATGGCCGGCGATTCTGATTGTTGGGAGATTTTCTTCATCATCTTTTGCCCAGTGAGTTTATAAAATTAACATAAGCTTTAGTACTTTTTTTCTCTAGACTCTAGAAGTAATAGAGTGTGTTATAATGTGAAAAAACTATTCAAAACACCGTATTTTTCTTTTAATATTATGACAGGATTGTTGTTTTTCTTGTTTTTCTTTTAGAAAATAGAGAAATCGTTGTTTTTCCGTTGGGTTTAAATTGCGGCTCGCTGGTGTCGGCTCGGTGTCGCTGTCGACTCGGTGTCGGCACTTAAAAGAAACGATTCGACCTCTTTGTCGATTTCGATCCCACTCTTTGTCTGCAGTTGAGGTCCTTTTAATCGTTTGATGTCATCAAAAGACATCAACGGTTCTCCACGCTGTCGACGTTGCTCATTCTCGAGCTCCTAAATATCAATGTCCAAAATTGTTTACGAAGCCAAACTAGCGTATTGCTTTCAGCAAATCAATTTACCCTCTTTTGCGTCATATTGTAAACGTTCGCATCGTGTCGTTGTTTCTCCGCCACATATTTTGTGTAGGCAGAAATGCTTTTATTCAATTCGTCAATATTGGGCATCATTCCTCGTACACATTTCTCCAATGACCTAAAATAAAAGTTTATAAAGCTTTAAAACTTGCAACCCAAACTTGCAACAAACCTTTTTGTTCCCAATTCCCAATTCCAAATGCGCTGAGATTTTCTCGGCAAGTTTCCCGGGTGCAATGGCCAACTCAGCGATCATCACGTTTGTTCAATTTCATTTCAATTGCGGCTCGCTATTTTTTGACTAGCCATTTTTGAGCGTTCATAAAAAATTATCTATCAATGCTATAGTCATGAAATCTTGAACATAGAGAGAAAATGATATGAATTTTCATTCTAGAAAAAGAAATGAATAGCTTTCATCGACAAATCACGGAAATATGAGTCTAGAACGGACGAGAGAAGAATGGGTTATTTCTGATCATCCTGTACTTTTGTCTTAAAAAGCTTAAAACAAAGCTTTTTGCTCGCAAAGAATCAAGGAATTCCTGGCAAAACATGGCAAAAACTCGCTTTTGAATTAATCATTAGGCTCGTGATTCAACTTTTTCAAATATCAAATCAAATACTTTTCAAAAGCAAAACGTTTTACTGTTGATTGAAAAAAAAAATGCTAAAATGAGTCAGAATATGAAATTTTTCAAGATAATAAAAGCTTGTTAACAATATTTTCATTAAATTTTGATAGAAAATTTGAGAAAATCTTTAATAGAAAGGATTTTGATCGAAAATTTCAATAGAAAAGTTCATTTTTCAATTGACAAATAGTGGGGGTAGGCTAGTTTCCGCAACTCGCCATAACGTTTTTCTAAGTGGACTAATTTTTATGATTTTGGCGTCATTTTGTAGAGCTCAATAAGTGCAACAAAATCACACCAGAATCATAAAGATTGACCGACTTAGAAGAAAGTTATGGCAAGTGGCGCAAAAGAACTAGTTGATACAGGGTTCCGTTGGTGAAACTAAAATCAGCTTTGGAATCAGCGTTCAAACCTCTATCAGAGAAGCTAGGGATTAGAAATTTATCATCTCTCCCCGTTTTTAAACAAGCAATTTCTTGTTTAGCACAATAGTTGGGCGGCGGCTAATTTGCGCCAAATTTTTTCCGCAACTCGATCGTTTGCGCAACTCGCCATAACTTTTTTTCTAAGTGGGTCAATCTTTATGATTTTGGCGTCATTTTGTAGAGCTCAATAAGTGCAACAAAATCACACCAAAATCATAAAGATTGCCCCACTTAGAAGAAAGTTATGACGAGTTGCGCAAAAGACCTAGTTGACCTAGTTGCGCAAATGATCCAGTTGTGCAAAAAAATTGGCGCAAGGTAGCCTACCCCAAATAGTGTTGTAGATTTACTAAACAAGACGAATGTCACCAAAAAGCTATTCACTTTAAGCTAAACGGTAAATAGTCTGACCGAAGTCTGGCCTGAGTTTTTTTTTCTAGACTAATACTGTCAATTTTCTCCGTGACAATGCGCCAGCTCACACGGCGAAAGCTTCTTGTATGGAGTTAGAGGAGTTAGGATGGAGGGTCGTATATCGCCAATATAAGCCACTTTTTTTGTGCTTCTTTTTGTCCCTCTTCTTCAGATTTTTTGTGAGAAAGTTTTCTCTAGATTTCTCTAGATTTCTCTAGAAAGTTTTCTCTAGATTTTTGTCTATAAATCTATTTGTTTTGCCAGTTAGCTGGTGTCATAGAAGTGTATTCAGCCAAAAGCTTGTTCTTTTAGAAAGCTTAGAAAGTTTAGGAAAGCTTAGAAATTAAACAGAATGTACACTCGACTCGCGGCACAACCATATTACTGAATCGAGTAAAAGCAATCGAGTAAATAGTTTTTTGAGTAAATATTGACAAATTTAGCCGATCGCTGTGGCAATGATGACCCAAGACGGAGGCCAGTCTTGTCTCAATCTCTTGCTCACCTCGCTCGCCTGGTTGCCTGGTGAGGGATTTATTAGCTTTAGTTTAAATGCTACGTCCGATCTAGAATCAAGCTGATCGCTCTAAATCCAAGTCTTGATCGGACGTTTGATTTAGAGTGATCGGCTTGATCGGCTAGATCGGCTTGATTCTAGACGTCCAATCTAAGAGGTCCAATCTAGAGTCTGGAGGCCCAATCTAGAGTCTGGAGGTCCAATCTAGAGTCTGGAGGCCCAATCGCTCTAAATCTAAGTCTGAGTCGAACGTCTGCTTTAGAATGGTCAGCTTGATTCTAGATCGGACGCTCGACCTCATTTCACTCTAGATCGGACAGATTTCTTGATCGGACGATTTCTAGATCGTAACATAAACATGAAAATTATATATCATAGAGATCCTTGAAAGCCACTTTTCATTAAGAATTCACATTAAGAATTGAAATTGATTGAAAATAAAGATCTTTCGAATAAAGTGGAAATGGTATTGAACAAGGCAATACACTTGATCAAGACCTCCTCCATAAATCTCCGGATGCTCAACAGCTTCCTCGGGAACGATTTGGACTAGAATATTCTTGTTTTTTGCAAATTTTCGTTTATTAGGTACATGCATAAGAAATCCAGCTTTCAACATTTTCATAAATTTCCAACGATAGAAATCTGATATCGATGAATGTTATATACTATTTGAAAGTTGTACATCTCCTCTACAAAATAGGCTAAAACGTGTTTCAATTCATCGAAGCCATTGAAGAAATTTCGAGGGCGAGATGCGAGTGACCAAAAAAGGAATCGAGTCACTTTAGGGACAAGTTTAGTGTGATCAAACCCCACTTTCACAAGAGTTCGCTTTTGACTATATAGTGGAAAATGAGCGCCTTAAAAAAACATTCAAAATAATAATTAAGAGTTGGGATCATTTCATGGGAAAACTTTGTTTTTACAATAATTTTTCTTTTTTGTGAAAAAGTCGGTTTTTTTTGGCAATTTTGAGGGTTTTGAACTTACGCTCTATCTAAATTTCTGTAAATGAATTTCCGTTAGACTTTTTTAATGAATTGATATATAGTTATCCTTTTTCTTTTTAAATCTTCAATTTCGGGAAGCTAACTCAATTTTGACCACACTAAACTTGTCCCTAAAGTGACTCGATTCCTGTTTTGGTCACTGGCATTTGGCCCTCGAAATTTCTTCAATGCTTCGATCAATTGAAGCAAGTTTAGCTCAGGTTAAAGACTAAGCCATGATTATTTTAGTTCAGATATCTGGTTGATCCTGCCAGACTGCTAGCTCAGGTTAAAGACTAAGCCATGCTTGACTCTATTTTGACCACACTAAACTTGTCCCTAAAGTGATTTGATTCCTTTTTTGGTCACTCGCATCTCGGCCTCGAAATCTCTTCAATGCTTCGATCAATTGAAACACGTTTTAGCCTATTTTGTAGAGGAGATTTACAACTTTAAAACTTTAAACTTTAAACTACAACTTTAAAGCTTTAAACTACAACTTTAGAACTTTAAACTTTAAACTACAACTTTAAAGCTTTCAAATAGTTTATAACATTCATCGATATCAGATTTCTATCGTTGGAAATTTATGCAAATGTTGGAATCCGCATTTCTTATGCATGTACCTATTGGGTTGGGGAGAATGAGTCGGCGCCAAACTTTAAAGGGACTTTTTGCACACATAAAGCCTTCTTTAAACATACGTTTGGTTTCATCAAAAGGATCCACTATTTCTCTACAAAATCACTTTTGAGAGATTCCACAAAGCTTTTCTTTCGTGGAGTTTATGAACTTCCAAACGCAGCTGGTTAAAATGGCAAAGAGTCCGACTCATCATTTGAACAGTTTCTTTCACATAAACCTTCTTTGGTGTTTATATAAAAAAGATAGGGCACATTCAATTACTTAAGTTGCCAAATTTGCAGGAAGATCCCACCAATGGTTTTTTCTAGATCACAGTTTGTAGTTTTTGTGAAAAAATGGCTTTTTCTTGAGCGGAGGCGCTGTTTGAATTTTCTTTTAAATGTCATTTTGTAGAGAATTAGTTAACCATTCTACTGATATCAAACGCATATTATTTGACGAAGTCGAATAGAAGTTTTAGACATTTTTTTGATTTTCGGCGCCGACTCATTCTCCCCAACCCAATAATATTTACCCGAATGTCCATTGTTGACAATGAATCCCTTAAGGATTTTAGCCAACAAGTCGTCTATTTTAAAGATTAACTTCTTAAAATAGTCAAAAGATTAACAAAAGAAGTTTAAAATCAAAAGATTAACTTTAAAGTCAAAAGATTGATTTAAAAATTTGATTTCCAAACATTTTTCTTTTGCAAAACATTTCAAGATCACTTATCTGTTTGTGCAAAAAAAAAAACGTCTAGTACTCTTCGCTGTTTAGTACTAGTACTAGTGTTTAGTCTAGTACACAAAAGTTGAAAGCTCCTAAGCGCACTCTTTGAACTTTTCCAGAGGAATTCTTGCAAAAAAAAATGTGAAAACATATTTGCTATTTATGAAATATTATGTAAACTATTTAATAATTGTTTTTTAAAAATGAGTTTTGGATAATTTAACAGTAAAGATTTCAGGCTTCATTCACGCTCTAATCGTCCGCAGCAACAAGAGACAATAGATTCAAAAACTTGTGGAAAATGTCAAAATTTGCATTTCAAACGTTTCTTTTCTTACAAATCACTTAATTTTTATTGAATATCCAATCTAATTTCGATTTTTAAACTTCCCAATATGTTGAATTTCCCTGGCATTTGTAGAATTGCTTTCAAAGATAAATGACAACATTTTATGACTCATTTTTTCTTGCTTTATGGGTAAATGAATAAAAAAATGATTGAATTTTGAAAAAATACTTTGTTGTTAAAAGTTAAACAAGTTGTTAAACAAGTTAAACAAGTCAAACAAGTTGTTAAACAAGTTAAACAAGTTGTTAAACAAGTTAAACAAGTTGTTAAACAAGTTAAACAAGTTGTTAAACAAGTTAAACAAGTTAAACAAGTTTCTTTGAGCTTCATTGAAACATTTTCACACGCTTTTTATACTGAATTCAATTTATTGTATTGAATATGTATTGAATTGAATTGAACTGATTGAATTGTTGTATTGAATTGAATAAGCTTGATTTTGCATTCATTCAAGCGCACAGGTCTAGCCACATCTAGTGAATTCAAAGCACACTAGTAATTCGTAACTATTGGGTTGGTGAATTTAAAACTACCGGACTTTGAACTAAAATTTATTCAACATAAAACCATGAATTCATTCCAAATAATTTCCATTATTATTGACGACTTCTGCCCATTTTACAGGCAATTTGCGGATTCCTCTTTCGTAGTAGGATTTTGGTTTGTGTGTGAGACAAGTGTGAGACTCAAAAATGGAGGACTGGAGATGGAGACTGGAGATCCCAGTTTGAGCACTTTCTTCAAAAGAAACCCATTTTGGTGTCAATGGAAAAGTTGTAGAGAATCAAAAATTAAGAGACCCAGACAAGATCAAGACAGAGCTACTCAAGGCTGGAGGAGAAGACATACACAAGCTGCTGGCCGAACGCTTCACCACCTACCTCCACAACCAGAGGATGCCTGACCACTGGCGAGAAGCAAGACATTCCTGCTCTACAAGAAAGGAGACAAAGAAGACATCGGAAACTACAGGCCAATATCTCTGGGCCAATATCTCTATACTCTCAATACAGGCCAATATCTCTACAGGCCACTTCGTAGTTTCGCTTAAAATGCAAGTTTTGTGAAAATTCGTAAATTTGGCATTTCTTGAAAACCAGTTTTTGAATCGTTCTGAAAATTTGGATATAAGCTTGATTTTTGATTCTCTACAACTTTTCGATTGACACCAAAATGGGTTTCTTTTGAAGAAAGTGCTCAAACTGTCACATATGACAATAGCCCGCAGTTTTCAATTCACCAACCCGATAGATTGAGATTAGCCTTGATTTGCGGAGAAGTCAATGTCGAATTTGAGGATTCTTAGCCGGCCAGAAGAGCAGAGAGAAAGCCAAGAGGGAAGAGGGTTATGTAAAGACCCTGCGCCAGACGACGAGCGATTACGCGGCCCCACAAAGAACACACAGAACACACAAATTTTAAGCGGAACTACAGAGTGTATCTTTTTGGAAATTTGGATATAAGCTTTATTTTTGATTCTCTACAACTTTTCCATTGACACCAAAATGGGTTTCTTTTGAAGAAAGTGCTCAAACTGTCACATATGACAATAGCCCGCAGTTTTCAATTCACCAATCCAATAGTAATTTTAAAGCACACTAGTAATTCGTAATACAGAACAAATTAGCAACGTTAGAAATATTGTTCTCATATAGTGTTGGAAATGTTTTTGCTCATATAAGCCGTAAATAATTGGGGTTTTTTTATTGGAATTGATACAAGTTGGCTATTTTTTACGGTCACAGTTTACTTTTTTTTCGTAAACCGCCGCTTGGTCACGGATTTAATAGAGTTTTGCTATCGTTTTTGTAATTTCGAGTATTCATTTCAATCCTCCAACGGATATCCAAGCTCTTTTCCAATTTTGAAATTTGGTTCCGATATTTTGAATGATCCTTTGTAGAAAGCCGATCGCTCCGGGCATGTGCAATTGCCTTTTAAACCTGACTTTAAAATAACAATAGTTTTAGATCCTCGTTTACCTCTAAAACCAGGTTGTCCAATGCGTCCTTTCAATCCATTTGGTCCTTGTGGTCCTGGGTGTCCAATCTTGCCCACAGCTCCCATCAGTCCAACAAATCCAGCGCTACCCGGCCACCCCGGTGGACCAATCACACCTGGTTTACCAGGCACACCTAAACATATCCATCAAATTCATTAAACATTCAGATTGAAGATCACTTCAAGTTACCTCTCCTCCCCGGCTCTCCTTTTGGACACACCCAACGAATCTCATACTTTCCAGCAATTCCCGGGACTCCGGGTGGGCCACGTACTCCTGAAATCAATTTTTGCGAATAAATTATAGTTAGTACCGTCTTTCCCAGGATCTCCTGGTGGACCAGGAGGTCCAAAATGTTTAGAAGGTGGGCCAGGTGGGCCACGAGGACCTGGAGGGCCTTTCTGAAAGGATAACTATGATATGTATATGATAAGCTTAGAAAACTTGTAAAATTAAAGACTAACCGGCCCAGGTGGACCCGGTGGGCCTGAGAGACCGGGCTCTGCGGGACAAACAATGCATTCAGTGTTTTGTAAAAACTTGTAACCACTCCAGTTGAAACCCCGATGTCCGGGGATTCCTGGCACACCTGCTGGTCCATTCTCTGAAATAATACAAGTTAACTACGCAATTTTTACAAATATCTTAGCTTATCAAAGCTTCTAGCTATCAAAGCTTCTAGTTCTAATTCTACCTCCATCAACTCCTTTTGGACCAGTTTCCCCAGTTGGGCATTTCGGATTGAACACGAGTTTCCTGTGTTCTGTTGGAAGGTTCAATTTCGCCAGTTTCTCCAATCCGAATGCTTCCATTTGCCCTTTAGATGGAGTCGATGCAAAGATTTTTGGCTTTCTTCGACTTTTTCGAGCTGAAGTTTTGGAAAATCGGAGAATTTCTTTGATGATTACCAGGAATTCGAGCCTTGTATGTGTAAAGCTTTTGCTCAGATCGGGGTAAACGTTTGAGCTCGTACTCGAGAGAGATCAGCTTGTTCCACGAGTCGTCTGTCTCTATCTGAATGTTTGCATTGTCAACAACGATAGGTTAATAGGTTCTCTTGACCTTGAAAAAGTCTTGACCCTTTTTTTCACCGTTCTCTTTTTAAATCTCTGAAAGTCACCAGCTGCTATTCAGGGTTCGTTTACTCTAATATACTAGTTGACCACTGAAATATGTTCACAAAATATTATTGTCTTTACCGTTACTTTGTATACTTTTGAAAGCAAAGCTAAATTAAATCATAAGCCATTTTTTGTCTCTTTATTTTAACTCTAACAATCTATTGCGACTATCTCATAAAAAAATAAATGATACTTATGAAGAGGCATCAAGTTATCAACATTTAGAGCTTTCACTAACCATTCAAAAGTCCCCTCAACTTTCAAGAGTCCCCTAAGCTCCGAAAGTCCCCTAAACTCCCTTAAATATCTCGATAGACTAGCTTTATTGCATTTAAAAGAGGCTGGCTCCTAGGTAGTTTAGGGAACTTTTGGGAATTTAGGGGACTTTTGAGAGTTTAAGGGACTTTTCGGAGCTTAAGCGACTTTTGAGAGTTTAAGGGACTTTTGAGAGTTTAAGAGACTCTTCAGAGTTTAGGGGACTTTTCGGAGCTTAAGCGACTTTTGAGAGTTTAAGGGACTTTTGGGAGTTTAAGAGAGTTTAGGGGACTTTTTGGAGTTTAGGGGACTTTTGAAAGTTTAAGGGACTTTTGAGAGTTTAAGGGACTTTTGAGAGTTTAAGAGACTCTTCAGAGTTTAGGGGACTTTTTGGAGTTTAGGGGACTTTTGAGAGTTTAAGAGACTCTTCAGAGTTTAGGGGACTTTTTGGAGTTTAGGGGACTTTTGAGAGTTTAATGGACTTTTCGGAGTTTAGGAGACTTTCGGAGTTTAGGGGACCTTTGAGAGTTTACGGGACTTTTGAGAGTTTAAGGGACTTTTCGGAGTTTAGGGGACCTTTGGGAGTTTGGGAGATGACTTTTGAATGGTTAGTGAAAGCTCTAAATGTTTATAACTTACTACAGAGACAATTTAGTCGTCTACTTTTGTAATATTTTAAAATTTTATATAACTTCCGTTTGTAAGAAAATATTAGATGCTCTGCTTAATAAATGCTTAATAAATGGTTAATAAATGCTTAATAAATGGTTAATAAATGCTTAATCGGATATCATACTAGCAAATAGTTAATGCCTTGGATAAATAAAAGTAGTTTTTAAGAAATTGACATGCAAAAGGGGGTCAAGACTTTCTCGCCAACCTAAAATATTAGCTACTTTTGTCTATGCATCTTTTTCCAACAAAGCAACAAAGCTTGTTCTCTTTGTCGGATAGTGGCTTAGACCGGAGAGATTCAAAATTGTTCAATCTTTAAAAACTTATGTTCAAATCAAAACCATACCTGAAACTCTCGTAATTCCTGAAGAATCTCTTGCTTGAGCATCGACAAATCCTCATTGATTGCCCAAATGAATGAAAGATAGGCAAGTAAAGCGCAGAAACTCGTGAAAATCGAGAAAACGAAGAATCCACGAGCCGATTCGCAGAACATTTAGCACAAGGATTTAAAATATAATTCAAATAAAGGAAAGAAATCAAAATTGCATAGGCAGAATGATTATAAAGCAGTGAGATCGGCTACGGCTCCAATACGGCTTCAATACGGTTCCTTTTAGATCCAATACGGTTCCAATAGAGTTCCAATAGAGTTCCAATACGGTTCCTTTTAGATCCAATACGGTTCCAATACGGCTCCAATACGGTTCTTTTTAGATCCAATACGACTTCAATAGAGTTCCAATACGGTTCCTTTTAGATCCAATACGGTTCCAATAGAGTTCCAATAGAGTTCCAATACGGTTCCTTTTAGATCCAATACGGTTCCAATATGGCTCCAATACGGTTCTTTTTAGATTCAATACGGTTCCAATAGAGTTCCAATAGAGTTCCAATACGGTTCCTTTTAGATCCAATACGGTTCCAATACGGCTCCAATACGGTTCCTTTTAGATCCAATACGGTTCCAATAGAGTTCCAATACGGTTCTTTTTAGATCCAATACGGCTCCAATAGGGTTCCAATACGGTTCCTTTTAGATCCAATACGGTTCCAATAGAGTTCCAATATGCAAATTTTGTTCCTGTTCGATAACAATCTCCGCTTATTTGACCTGCATTATTTGCTTTTGCAAAGGATTTAAATCAAGATCAAGAACAAGATTTTTGCTAGTAAAAAGAAAGAAAGAAAGAATTTCATTAAAGAAATGATTTTATTTTTATTTAATGTAAAAAGTCGTTTGTTTTCCTTTTCCTTTGATATCAACGACGCCGCGTTCTTCGAGGTGAAATTCGGAGGAGAATTTCTCGAGAATAATCCGCGCTGTGATCTCATTCACCTAAATTTTGCTGGATAGGAAAATCTGGTTAGAAAATGGCTTGAAAATCTAGCTCTTGCGTAGTTTCTGGGTATTTTGAAAGAATCGGGGTCTTTTGAACGGATCGTCACTCTTTGGAGGCCTTTGAATAACTTTGTCCTATCAAGGTCTATCAGAAACACCTTAATAAAGAGATACAGAAAGAGAGAATAGAAATAAATCTGAAAAATAGAGAGATCTAACAAGATTGTAAGATTTAAAAGTTTCAAAGATTCAAGGAAGACCCTCAGAACTGTCCTTGGCTACTTTCTGAGCTCTAGGCCTCTTTTAGCTCTTCGAATTTGCAAAATCCATCGTAAAACAGAACTCCACGATAGAACTATTGGAATTTAGGCTCTTGCGTGATTTCCAGTTATTTTGAGCGGATCGTCACTCTTTGAAGGCCTATAACTTTGTCCAGAGATAATATTTTTGTTAACCTTTTATATCCTTGTATAGAGAACATTTCCGGCTTTCAAATGATACCAAATAGAGCTTGACCGGATTTTTCATTCCCATGCAAACAAGGCGACACGAAACCCGAGTCGGATGGACCTCATTTGCTCAGAGTTGTCTCTGATTTTCTTGGACTTGATTATCCAATCAAGCTCTATTTGATAGCATTTGAAAGCCTGAAATGTTCTCTGTACAATGATATAAAAAGTTAACAAAGATATTGTCTCTGGAAAAAGTTATAGGCCTTCAAAGAGTGACGATCCGTTCAAAAGACCCGGATTTTTTCAAAAGATTCTTTCCAATACAATTACAAAATACGCAAAAGCCGAGAAACTTAAGGGAAAATTGCAAAATTTAGCTCAAAAGGTGTTTCAAATATTGCGGAAAATCGAATTGGATAGTTATCAACCTGAATTTTGTCAGGCTCACAAGTTGCCGCCATTCGGAAAGTCAAATTCACAGTGTCGCCAAAAACGCAGAATCTGAAATTTCTGAAATTTCACTTGTTTTAGATGTGTAATATGAAAAATTTGATCTGTAAAACTCATTTTCATCGTTTTTTTTTAAAACTAGCGCACCTTGGAGCAGCAATTCCCAGGATCCCGCTTGCTAGAGGGCCCGAATTGATGCCCATCTTTAAACGCAATTTTTTTTCCGGATGATGTGGGATCTTGTAATCATTGAGAGCAAACTAAAACCAAAAACAAATATTCGAATCGACTTTAGCTTTAGCTTGTTTAGCTTTAGCTTGTTTAGCTTTTTAGCTTTAGCTTTAGCCAGCAAACCTCTCGAAATTTCAACGCCAGTCGACAGACTTCAACCAAATGTTGATAGTGATCCACTTTGGGAATCCCAGAGATCAATAGATAAGCATCACCGACGTTTTCCACCTGTCACTTTTGAGTTTCAAAGCCAGTTAGAGCCTAATAGGCTTAGAGGCTAATAGCCTAACCTTGAAAGCTTGATATTTCTCTACAAAACAATCAAATTTCCCATAGAGTCGATTGAGCATTTCGATGATCTGAAGTGGGGTCGAGTTCTCGCAAAGTGTCGTGAAATCACAAACGTCTACAGCCAGTAAAGAGACCTAAATTGGTTAAACATTTATTTACATTAGTAATGTAATACAAACAATACACAAGCACAACCTTTAAGCTTTAAAAGTAGAGAAGAAAAACCCAGAGATATGAAAAAAAAGAACCAAGAATCTAGCCGGCGGGATTGAACCCTTGACCATTTATTGTTTTGTAGCTTTTTAGCTGAATATCTTGTGTTAAAGCCTATATAAGGTTGCCTTTTCATTTTCAGAGAAGAAAAACTCAGTGATATGGAAAAAAGGACCAAGAATCTAGCCGGCGGGATTGAACCCTTGGCCTTCCAACTAACAAGGGAAGATTAACTGGCTGAGCCGGTCAAATGCTATGCGATCTATACCATTTGACGCAGAATTTTACGCTGATTTCGAATCTGTTTTCCGTTTTTAAAACGCAGCACTCTGTCAAAAGTTATAAGCGCTCAAAGATCTGTATGAAAGAAAACAGAAAAACAGAGAACAGACAGAGAACTTATAAGTTGATTTAGAGGGGAAAATGTCGTGTTGTCCGAGTGGCAGTGGGCTTAAATACGAGGCAGTGACCCTAGGGTTCGAGTACGGTGTTTGGCTTTTCTAGTTGCCTCTTTTAGCTTTGAATGGTCTGATCTTCGATATATTGGATGTTTTGGCGATATTAGATGGCCATCATTGGCTGTATAGCAACGGAGCAACGGTATGCCAGATGCTGTACGATTGTGCATAGAGAGAACCATAGAGAGCATAGAGGACAGAGCTAGAGAACACTAAAACCATTCAAAGCTAAAAGAAGCAAAAAGAAAAGTCAAACACCGGAACTCAGTCAAACGGACCTTGGGGTCCATGCTTCTCCAAGCCCACTGCCACTCAGCTATCCCGAAATCTTTTTCTCTCTGGTAAATCAACTTATAAGTCAAGGTCTGTCCTCTGTTTTTCTGTTTTCTTCCTTACAAAACTTTGAGCGCTTATAACTTTTGTCAGAGTGCTGCGTTGCAAAAAAGAAAATCAGCATCATGATCAGTGTGAAATTCTGCGTCAAATGGTCTATGGCTGATCTCATTTGGCCACCACAATTTGTTGTCATTGCCTTGTCAGATTTGCCAGTTGACCATGGCTTATGAAAGCTTTAAAAAAACCAGTATTTCTTACTTAAAGCATAGATTTATCTAGACTTTGGTGGACTTTAAAAACCTTACCGCTTGATGTAGCTGTGGTGGAACAGGTCGACCCTCTCGTAGTTGATCGGCTACAGTTCTGAAAGCTCAATAATGTTCCTATCAACCTATCAACGTGTCAATCAAACTGTGGCAAATAGACACTAAAAAGTTACCTAACTCTGACAGCCTAAAAATTGGAAAATTATTAGAGAAACCCCTTCATTCTATTTCGCGCCCCAAATCATTTATTGTTTTGTAGCTTTTTAGCTGAATATCTTGTGTTAAAGCATAATCAAGTCCAAGAAAATCAGAGACAACTCTGAGCAAATGAGGTCCATCCGACTCGGGTTTCGTGTCGCCTTGTTTGCATGGGAATGAAAAATCCGGTCAAGCTCTATTTGGTATCATTTGAAAGCCTGAAATGTTCTCTATACAAGGATATAAAAGGTTAACAAAAATATTATCTCTGGACAAAGTTATAGGCCTTCAAAGAGTGACGATCCGCTCAAAATAACTGGAAATCACGCAAGAGCCTAAATTCCAATAGTTCTATCGTGGAGTTCTGTTTTACGATGGATTTTGCAAATTCGAAGAGCTAAAAGAGGCCAGAGCCAGAAAGTAGCCAAGGACAGTTCTGAGGGTCTTCCTTGAATCTTTGAAACTTTTAAATCTTACAATCTTGTTAGATCTCTCTATTTTTCAGACTTATTTCTATTCCCTCTTTCTGTATCTCTTTATTAAGGTGTTTCTGATAGACCTTGATAGGACAAAGTTATTCAAAGGCCTCCAAAGAGTGACGATCCGTTCAAAAGACCCCGATTCTTTCAAAAGACCCGGATTCTTTCAAAATACCCAGAAACTACGCAAGAGCTAGATTTTCAAGCCATTTTCTAACCAGATTTTCTTATCCAGCAAAATTTAGGTGAATGAGATCACAGCGCGGATTATTCTCGAGAAATTCTCCTCCGAATTTCACCTCGAAGAACGCGGCGTCGTTGATATTACTATAGGTTGCCTATATAAGTTGCCTTTTCATTTGGTGTTGTTCATTTGATGCGTTTTTTACTTTTTTCTGCCTTCCTGTTTAGATTTTTCTGTTTCCTGAAAGTTTTATCCTAATTAGGACGAAATTGTTTCTGTTTTTATCGTCGCTTTTAATTCAATTCAATTCAATTGTCGATTTTGTGTGAGAATTGCTCCAAATAGCTCTAGTTTGCTCAAGCTCTAGTTTGCTCAAGCTCAAGTTTGCTCAAGCTCTAGTTTGCTCAAGCTCTAGTTTGCTCAAGCTCTAGTTTGCTCAAGCTCAAGAGCGCAAAAACTCCGAGTCAGTCGGCTATTGAATAAAGTGTCTTAGTGCAAGTGAAATCAGATATCTCGAAACAAGAAATAACGTGTCTTGAGTGAAGAGTACCAAGGACGCAAAGAATATCTCTTTACACAACCTATCAAAATCTTTTAGCACAACAGTCACTTTGAATCTTCTTTAACCACCAACCTTGGCAACAGCTGATAGAGTAAATGCTCGGTTCTTTTCTGTAACGATTGAATCTCTTCGGTTCTCTGCTCAACGATCTCCTCCAAATGATTCGAGTACTCATCAACCATTGCAATCATTGAATCCATTAAGGTGCCTTTTGACCTAAAGGAATTTCGTGTTGCATTCGTTTTTAGGCTTTTCTTTTATCTTTTTAGTAAATTTGATCTGTTAAAGACTCACTCTGCACCGAATTCTCGAAATAGTGCATCTTGAATTTTTGATAGAGTTGGTCGTTGAGCAGCTTTTCCAATCCAACATTGTTGCATGATTGATCTCAATCTGAAACTCTAGAATTCTAGAATTCTTGATCTAGATCTGACTATAGGTTGTCCAAAAGTAATGCGGTTACTTATTCGATGTTACCACGAAACCAGCTCACATTATGATGGACTTCCCTCTGCTCGGACGATGGGAAATGTTGTTGATGTTGTGGAGATATATCGATTAATAAAGTTCTCTTTGTTAATTTTGTGATATTTTGGATCGTGTCAACACGCACTTGACAACTAATAGAATTCTAGAACTAATTTTAAACGAATCAGACAAATCAGAAGAATCAGAAGAATCAGATTTATTAACAAAAGAAAGCTTCCTATGACAGAATTTGAAATAATTCGGTTTGTTGAGCTCTCTTGGCTCGAATTGCACAATCTAAAGCCCCAGGGCTCGAATTTACGCTGAATCTAATTTACTATTTGCCTAAAAACGGCCTTGAGAAGTAGGCAAGGCAGTAAGGCTCTTTTTTAGCTATTCTTTCTTAGAAAAATACTTTTCAATGATAACCCTCGTCAATAAAATGAAAGAAACACTGAAAGAACTTGTCTGACAAAGAGAAATCACAAAGAAACACTGAAAGGACCTTATGATGATCCCAACTCATCTAAAATTAAACCTTAAGCAGCTATAGATTTTGAATTTGAATATACACAGGCATTAAGACTTAAAAAAAAGGAAAAACACAATCAGCCACCGGACTCGAGCCAGAGAGCCCCACCTCGAGCCAGAGAGCCCCACCTCGAACTAGAGAGCCCCACCTCGAACCAGTGAGGCCCCGCCTCAAAGCAGAGAGCCTCAGCCAACTCACTACCATTCTCCGTCAACACACTACCTCCGTCAACTCACTATCTGCAACTGCCGAGCTCACGGAAGACGTTGTAAGGGTGGAAGGGTTGTAAGGCCGCGGTTTGACTTTTGAAGCTCCTTGCAAAACTCCATAAGCTCCTTTTTGAAACCCTTTACAAAACTTTAAATGCGTATAACTTTTGACAGAGTGCTCCGTAGCAAAAAAAGAAAAGCAGCATCATGATCAGCGTGAAATTCTGCGTCGAATGGCTCATTTGATTTGGCTAGCACATTCAGTCGATCTTCCCTACTTTCCGCTAGAAGAAGAGTGTACTGGTAGAATCCTCGGTCACTTCTGTGGGTGATGAGCAAACTTTAGGGAACTTGTTGGTGATATTGTGACGAAATTGTGACGAAATTCTGAAGAAATTGTGACGAAAATCTTCACAAGAGACAACAAAAGGTGAACTTCAATAACTTAAATCACTTCAATAAGCTTGAGCTCGAATCTTCTCCAATTTTTTCTGACTTTCAGTTTAGTTAACTTGACTTGTTTGTTGTTAATTTGTTTAGTTTGACTTGTACTTGAATTACTGTACTTGTACTTGTACTTGAAAGTTTAACTTGTTTTGTAAAAAGTAAAATATTTGACAATCGGCAATAACTGGCAATCGGCAATAACTGTCAATCGGCAATAATTGACAATCAGCTTCTTACCTCAACGTGTATTCGGTTTCCTCTGGAACTTTGGGTCGAAGTGGAATCGTTGCTTTTGAATCTTTTTGATCAATAATCTTTTTGATCACTTCTGTAACAAATCTTTGAAGCAAACCTTGGATAAAACAGTAAAAAAAACTGGTTCTAGACTCTGGAAAAGATTCTTGACTTTGAATCAGAGAGTATTTCATTTTTAAGTATAAAATTCTTTGGTTAAAAGCTTTTGGTTAAAAGTTTTTGTGAAATACACTCTCGTACCCACCTTCCATTGGGTGTCGATACTCAGAGAATGGTATTTGTCTGAAGAGAATCTGATAAATGATCATTCCCATTTGGTAGATATCCGTTTGATGATTCCCAATCGGTAGCTCATTCATTGCTAACAATTCACTCAAAAATTCTGGAGAGTGTTGCAAAAACTCTGAAAGAGAAAAAGAGAGAGAAAACGTTTAGGTTTAAATCGTTGAGGTTTAAAACGTTGAGGTTTAAAACGTTCACTTTTAAACGAACTTCTTGGCAGCTCATTGACCAATATGGGCAACTCAAAGAGATCCTTTTGCTTGACCTAAAGACTAAATTAGAAATTGAGTAAGTTGCATTCTTGTTACTTTCTCCTTGATAAATGGTCGAATTCCAAAATCTGTTAGCTTCACCACCCAGTAACTGTCAACAACACAATTCGATAGGAAAAGAGCTCCATGACATCGGAGCGGACTGTTGTGAATGTGATGGAGGCCCTGAAGTAAACTTTAGCTACTAGTTACCGTATTTTCTCTAATAGTAGTGCGCCCAAAGCTTCGTCTAAATTCCTCGAAATCTCGAGAACCGCTTGTCAGAACCTATCGATGTGGGATTGGAGAATGTAGCTGACGATAAGATCTAGTGGGGGATTAGAGAGTTGAGCTTCTGTGAAAGCTTGGGAACTGTAAAATAGTCACCAACTCGGCTCGACCAGAGGAGGGGGAGAGGGCACTACTATTAGAGAAAATACTGTGATCGGTAATAGGCCAGTAGCCAGAAGACAGTCACCACAATTTTTCTGTTTTTGTGTTGCACATTTTTAGCTCGTTTTTTGATTGAATTTTGGGTCTTTCTTTAGATCTAGCTCGGCTCAAAGCAGCATAACGTCCATATGAAAAAGATTTTGTCATTCAACCAAACTCCAACTCGATCAAATATTGTTTTTCCTTGGTTTTTGGTTAATTACAAATGTCTGACAGGAAATTGAAAACGTTTAAAAATTAACGGATTATCATTAACATTGTAGAACCTTATTCCAAAGCCTATTCCAAAGCTTATTCCAAAGATTAATCCAAAGATTATTCCAAAGATTACTCCAAAGCTAAAGCTTATTCCAAAGCCTATTCCAAAGCCTATTCCAAAGCTTATTGCAAAGCCTATTCCAAAGCCTATTCCAAAGCTTATTCCAAAGCCTATTCCAAAGCCTATTCCAAAGCTTATTGCAAAGCCTATTCCAAAGCCTATTCCAAAGCTTATTCCAAAGCTTATTCCAAAGCCTATTCCAAAGCATTCCAAAGCATTCCAAAGCCTATTCCAAAGCTTATACCAAAGCCTATTCCAAAGCCTATTCCAAAGCTTATTCCAAAGCTTATTCCCAGCTTATTCTCAGCTTATTCCAAAGCTTATTCCAAAGTTTATTCCTGTAATCGAAGATGTTCCTATTGGTTCCTTTATCGTTCCTATTTAGTTGCTATTTAGTTCCTATTTGGTTCTTTTATAGTTCCTATTTGGTTCCTTTATAGTTCCTTTATAGTTCCTATTTGGCTCCTATTTTATAAAATAATAAATCAAATTCGATAATAGAAATGGAAAATTGAAAAAAACTTGTCTGATTCCTGGAATCCTCAAATCAAATCAAATCAATAATAAGGTTCGCAAAAGAATGATAAAGGGAAAGATGATGGGGATGATTTTTAGCAATTTCTAAATTTTTGATTCATCTGTGGGACCCGTACCTACTTTTTCGGCCGGCCGATTGTCGGTTTCAACCGAAAATCGATTGAAAATTAGAAAACCCATGGGCATTCTTTTAGAATAAATACGGTAAAACACTTAAATTATGCACGCAACAAAAAAAAACGCTAACTTTTATTCACTCCGGATAGATTGGTTACAAAATGAGCTCTCCAATCATTTAAATGATCTCACCAATCCTTTAAATGATCACCAATCATTAAAATGAGCTCTCCAATCATTTAAATGATCTCACCAATCATGATCTCGCCAATCATTTAAATGATCACCAATCATTTCTCACTTGCAAAACAAACCCTCAAGATTTGTCGTAAAAACGAGGCCAAGAAATTCCTGCCCAATTTGTGCTCCTTGATAAAGAAGAGATCCTCAAGACTGTGTCTCGTGCAAAAAGTCCACAAAACGAGCAACTCAGTCCCACTGTCGAAAGAGATTCCCACAAATGAATTGATATTTGAGTGGGTTAAACTGTGAAGCTAAATTGTAAATTTGAAGCAAATCGATTTCTTCAGAAGCAGTTTAGATTTCCTTTGATTTTATTTCCTTCACTCCATTTCATTCACTTCATTTCATTCACTAACTTCATTCAAATGTTCCATATCTTTTCTCGAAATATCCACTGGTCGTCGTTGAAAATAAGATTTCACAGTCACCTAGGGTTTATTTTAGAAATTTGTCGTTGAATCGGGGAAAACCTTTTTCCCAAAAACTTGAGCAATTTTGCAACTTTCACCTAGAGAACCAAATGTTGAACAAGCCAAGGAATTCGTTCGAAAAGACGAAAGTCGAAGCTTTTCACTTGCGGCCGAGCTACCCTAAATCTTGATTTATCGATAATTTTCGCTTTTTGAAACCAAATCATTTGATCCATTGAAGCGAACTTGATTGTGCCCGATTCGCCAAGACATTTTTTGGAGTTCATGTTCTTTTCTGAAAGATTAAAGCAATATTTAACAATATTTAAAGAATATTGAACAATATTTGAACAATATTTAAAGAATAAACAATATTTGAACAATATTTAAAGCACTTCACAAACTCACTTCCGAAAGTACTACGCCAACGACAATGGAACGACAATGGAATGACAATGGAACGACAATGGAATGACAATGGAACGACAATGGAACGACAATGGAACGACAATGGAACGACAATGGAACGACAATGGAACGACAATGGAACGACATTGGAACGACAATGAAACGACAATGAAACAATATTTAAAGCACTTCCCAAACCCACTTCTGAAAGTACCACGCCAACGACAATGGAACGGATAAAACGAATAGAATTGCTGCTACAGCCAAATAAATGAGTCGATTGCTGCACGATAAGCCATCAAATCCACAAAGGGGAATAGCTGGTGGTAGTTGGAAGATCCATTCTCGACCGCAGTCCTCCAGCACCTGGAATTCGATGAATTTGATGAATCTGATGAATTTGATAAGGTGTATTCTGTGTCTACATCTAAACTAACACTTTCTGGTGCATTCTATACAAGATGCGGCATCTAAAGTGTTGCGCTTAATGCATCTTTTTCGCTTTCTAAGACAATACATTAATTTAAGCTGAAAAGCAACAATTAATCGTAAAATTAACGTGTAATTTTACATAGAATAGAAGAACGGTCGTACCCAGCAAGTGCATTACTGTAGCTATGCTAAAGTAACCCAGTACATAAGTACATACCAAGTACAAAAGTACAGTAACCCAAGTACGTAAATACGTACTATCGCCATGCGTACTATGGCAATATCCGGTGTGCGTGCCAGCATCAAAGAAAACCCTAATCACTTCCGCGGTTTCTTGCCTTGGCGTCACTTTTAGCTCCCAGCTACTAATTGAGAAATAAGAATGGAGCAATATCTCGCTAATTCGGCGTCTTTTCAAAAATGTTTTTAGCTCAACTTGCAAACTGGAGCGCAACTTAAATGTGGAATGTTTTTAAAAATTAATCTAAAAGGTTATCGGATATTTGATGTTGCTATTGTCATTGCCATTGGCAATCTAACTTTGAGCTTAAATATCTTGATGTTGAGCTGTGCTATTTAAAGTTGTTTAGTATCATTAGATTCACCAAGTCTTTCTCTATCGATTGGTATAAAAACTATTTAAATTGGACACACCAACACCAAGAAACTTAAGCTTAAAGTTAGATTGTCAATTGCAAAAGAGGCACGGCGCGTATGCCAATGGCGAAAGGGGCGCGGCGCGTATGCCAATGGCAAAAGGGGCGCGGCGCGTATGCCAATGGCAAAAGGGGCGCGGCGCGTATGCCGTACAATTTGATACGTTGAACCAACCATTTCTAAAGCAATCAACTTTTCGGTGAAGCTCCAACTCCAGGTGTTGTTGCCGGAAATTTTCGCCACCAGTGTCTCATTTGATCCATCGAAGAAATGCAGTTCCCAATCCGGCAATAAAATGCCACTTGATGAGACAAAGAAATGACTCAATTCACCTACAAAAAACTACAAATAAGTAATGCTTTGAAGATTCGATTACCATGAAAACTTTGATTCACAAAACTCTCCATTGAGCTATAGCCGCTCGACAAGATCTCACAGAGTTGGAGGGAGTCACTTAGACTGGAGAAACTCTGGAATTTTGGGAGAATTTTGGGAGAACTTTAGAGTCCAGGTAAAAGTAGACTCACCTGAACATTGTATTTGTAAATTGATCGCTTTATAATTTCTTGAGTTGATGTTGGCGTTGTTAACTAAAAAGCGAGTGTAGTTTTACAAAATTGGAAAGGATGTGTAAAAAAGCGAGAGCGCGGGAGAGACAAGCGAGAGCGCGCGAGACAAGCAAGAGCGCGCGAGACAAGCAAGAGCGCGCGAGACAAACGCGCTCCCAACTGCGCCATGGCGACCAAGCCTTCCCGCCCAGAAAAACTCGCTGTTAACCGGGTTTTTTTGGCTGCTCATGAAATAATGGCCTTCAAGGAGTTTATGCAGAAACAGTTAACAATGGTTAATCGTTTAAAGTTGTTCTTCGGTTTTTATCGCGGTGGCGCAGTCGGGAGCGCGCTTATCTCCCGTGCACTTATCTCCCGTGCGCTTGTCTCCCGTGCGCTTGTCTCCCGCGCGCTTGTCTCCCGCGCGCTTGTCTCCAGCACGCTTGTCTCCAGCGCGCTTGTCTCGGCGCGCTCGCTTGTCTCCCGCGCGCTTGTCTCGGCGCGCTCGCTTGTCTCCCGTGCGCTTGTCTCCCGCGCGCTCGCTTGTCACACGGCCCGGGTTCGACCCCCCGTAGTGCCACTCAATTTTGACTTTTTATTTTTTAATTTAAACCCACCAAAATTGTGTTCTTGATCATTTTCTTCAACCTGCGCCTCTCTTCATTTTGTAAAGCAAACTTTGCAGCCGAACGATAGAATTTACGTGGATGTATCAAACCGAGATCAATAAAGAGGGTCACAAATTCGGATGGTTCTTCAAAAATGTCAGAAACTGTAGAAATATAGTTCAAATACTCGTCAAATGACCCGAAAAAGAGTAGAACTAAAAGGAAAATTAAGAAAAGGTTGTCTAAGACTTTTCTACCTCGCACTGTAGAACTCAAAATATGCAAACAGCTTATTGAATTGAAATGGCATGTGTTAGCGACGAAGACACCAATTTCAGTGGTTAGAAATTTCGAAATCGAAGTGGCTTTTTGGGGAAATGTCGAGGAATGGACAATGGCAAGCTGAAATTGAGCATTGTTGAGTGAATTCGTTTACCAAAATCAGCAATAGTCAGTTCATATGCCGATTTTGAATGAAATCTTTTGGCAAACCTTTCAAAAAAACCTTTAAGTGGCAGTCCAAAAATCAACAAAATGAGGAAAATGTTATATCATTTTGTAGAGAATTAAACTCTGTCGATTGGTATCAAATTTGTGTGCTCAGGTTAAAAATTCACGGGCGTTACAACGTTTGATTCAAAATCGGCGGGATTTCCGTGGCCGATTTTGAACGAGTGAATCTAGGCGCGTCGAATAAGATTTCATTAGTAAGTCAATCTCTGCAGTTGATCGTTTTTAAAAGTTATAAAACAACTTGGCAGTTTGTAAGCAGTTTATGTGCTGTAGCCGATTTTGAAAATTCAGCCGTTTTGGACGAGTGGATCTAGCGTCTAGATCAGAGTGTGTTCCTTGCAGACAACGCGTTTTCTAAAAAGCGCGCGCCAAGGATAAGCGACCGTAACCCTATGCTTTGCATCAGCAAATTTTTCAAAATGCAAATGTACATTAAAATCTTGCGCTCTTTTTTTCTATTACTCTTTCCTTAACTCTATTACTCTTCCTTAACTCTATTACTCTCCTTAACTCTTCCCCACCTTACCTTCCTCTTCTTTCTAACCTTACCCTTAACATACCTAACCCCCCCCCCCCAACCTCCCCACTCTATTACCCCCCCCCCCTAACCTCCCCCTACCAACCCCCCCCCTCTATTACTCTTTCCTTAACTCTATTACTCTTCCCTTAACTCTATTACTCTTTCCTTAACTCTATTACTCTTTCCTTAACTCTATTACTCTTTCCTTAACTCTATTACTCTTTCCTTAACTCTATTACTCTTTCGCTAAAACTTAAACATTTTTAAATGCTATGTAAAATTAAAGAAAACATTTAAAACGGGAAAAGTTAAGAAACACTATTAAAAAAGTATATTATTTACGAATTTACCAGGCCTATTGTCTACATTTGCACTGGAACCATTCCAAAAAAAATTCCACGCCCTAAAAAACCTAAATCCTTAAATAAAACTATCCATTACTATATTTTAAGAAAAGTTTTTTGCAAATTTTTTTCGCGCGACCTTTATAGCTTTGCTTAAAAAGCGCACCTTTTAGAAAACGCGTTGTCGGAAGTCTTGTCGGATCAATTGTCTGACAATATGTCTGTCAACAAGGAGCACACTCTAGTCTAGATCTAGCGTCCAAACATCAAGTATTAGGTTGATGCATAAGTGTTTTCGTTTTTTTCGTACTTCTGTTAAAAAGTAACAAATTCACGAATTAATCTATAGTTTGCTCTATAAAAAAAGTGTTTTGTTTGTTTTGTTTATTTGTTTTTTTTGTTTTTTTGTTTGTCTTAATTTGTTTTTTCTTAATTTCATGAATAAATTGTTGCTCGTTGCGAAAATTACGATTAATTGTCGTTCCATAATGCTGCCGCATCCTGTAGAAGAACTCAATTGCTATGTCAATATTGAATCTATAAAATTAATGGCTTTTTCATCTTCCGGACAAGCTCAAGATCAAGCTTTTTCATCTTCCGGACTTCCGGACAATGATGTTTGAAGTCAAAAATTCGCATTAATCCTGTATCTTGCATTTGAAAGCTGTAAAGCTCGATCATTTTCATTATTTGACTTAATTTTGATACAGCATTTTGCAACAATAATCGATTCCTTTTTTTTTTAAATAGACGAATTTTAATAGGTTGATGCAAAAGTCTTTTTCATTTTTTTCGTACTTCTGTTAAAAAGTAACAAATTCACGAATTAATCTATAGTTTGCTCTATAAAAAAAGTGTTTTTTTTGTTCAATTTGCATCTTTTTAAATGAATTTCGGTTGACTTTCAAGCAAATTCGAGAGTGAAAAACGCCTTTTTCGTAAAAATCTATAAAAAACTCTACGGAAAAATTGGCTGAATGAATTTCTCTGAAATTTTGGCGAAATATCAAACGTTTTTTTTTCTCTATCTTTTATCTATTGACACGAAGATAGGTTTTCTTTAGCTAAGGTGTCTAAACCGCATCATCGAGTTAGCCCTTTTTGACTACCCGACTTCATACTCTCAAGAAAATCCAGGCATTCAATATTTTTAAACCCGTTTTAATGTTATTTTGCAGAAAAATAATTGCTTTTTCTAATGAAATCAACCGTAGTTTAATTGGTGCATTTGTTGGCTTGAAACGGCAGACGAAAAGGAACAAAAGCACTTATGCATCAACCTATTAAAACAAATCAGATACAAATTAAATTTGTTCGTAAATTTGTTCTTTGCGTACTCTTTGTTAAAATAATTTTTTAAAATAAGCTTGAAACCGAATTTTGATCCTTTTTTTGAGAGTCGCAATTCTTCAAAGGAATTTTTATAATGGAATATAAGACTGGAATATAAGACTGGAATACCGTATTTACTCTAATAGTGGGGTCCTCTCTAATAGTGGGGTCGTCTGGAGTAGAGTGTGTTCCTTGCAGACAACGCGTTGATAGCAAAATAGCAAAATGCAAAAGGATAGCAAAATGGGATAGCAAAATGCTGAAGTTTAAAGCTTTCAGCTTTCAGCAAAGCTAGCTTTTAAGCTTCCAGCTTAGCAAGACTTCCAAAGGCTTTAAATGATAGTTATAGACTAAAAAAAGCCTAATGACGTTGAAAACCGGATGAAAATCCAACAAATAAACCCATTTTGAGCTCTTGAAAATTTGGGTATACTGTAACTAGAACACGAAAAAGAATTTTAGAGAGACATTAAAAAATAGAAGAGCCGGCGAGAAGAGCTTCTAATAGAAGAGCCGGCTTTTCTATTAGAATCTTTACGGTAGTTCTTTAATTCAACTTCAAAGATAATCCAATTTTCCAATGGAATTTCAGTTTTTTAAATCTTCCTTCTAAATCTAGTACCGTATTTACTCTATTAGTGGGGTCCTCTCTAATAGTGGGGTCCTCTCTAATAGTGGGGTCGTCTGGAGGGGGGTTGAAAAAATAGTGGGGTCCTCTCGAATTGGAAGAAGATATTGGTAACGAAAGTGATACATCAATTGTTGATCTCTTGGATTAGTTCTTTTACTGTTTGTTAATGTTTTGTTACGGTTAAAGCTAAATAAAATATGAAGCCAAACTTGTTTTGTCAAGAATTTCGGAGAAAAATTGATATCTTTTCAATTTAAAACTTTGGTTTTATGTTCCATCAAGTATTTGGTATCATTCAACGCAGAATCATTGATAATTATGTTACATTTTTGTAACTAGAAAGATTGGATATAAAGAAAAAGATCTAAAGCAAAAAAAAAAACCGTTTGTTCGAGAGAAAACTTTGAAGCTCTATAAAATGTTCCCTTTTCATCAAATCTTGCTAATTCTAAAAATTTAACATAATTATCAATAATTCTGCGTCGAATGATACTAAAAAGTTGATGATTGGACGCGCCTAGATCCACTCGTTCAAAATGGCTAAATTTCAAAATCGGCTACGGCACATAAACTGCTTACGATGCCAAGTTGTCTTATAACTTTTAGAAACGACCAACTGCAGAGATTGACTTACTAATTATTAAAGCGTTAAGTATTAGGTTGACTAAAAGATTGTTGCCAATAATGCCAACTTCGATTTTTAGCCTTCCTATTCGCCTCAATTTCAAAGTTAACTTATTAAAGTTTCAAATTTAACTTTAACTTATTATTCACTAGGTTCAGTTCAGCAGTTCTAAGCCATCTCTACAATAAATAATCGTAAATACTTTAACGTCACCTCCTAGTACAGTTGCGTAGCCTAACATCTTTTCAGAAGTTAGGCTTTTCAGAAGTTCAGAACTTCTTTTCAGAAAATCATTTTTTCTCAGCTCCCAGATTTTTCCCAACTACACTTTTGATAACAAAAAATACTAGACTTTAAGGGCTATCATTTGACACCAAAACGAACACTCTAGCTTAAACAAGCACAGAGAACGAAGCGTGTAAAGTTAGACTACGCGGCAATACCCCGTCATTTTGGGGTTCTATTAGAGTATTGATGGTAAGTGGTTCAAATCTTTTAGAAAACTACGTGTGTCCAATTCAAATGAAGAGCAGTGACAGCCAATGCTCTTCCCAATCCAAACGTTGTATTTCTTGTGGCAACGAGCGTTGTTTTTCCTTTATCGTTTGGTGCCAAGCTTTGCGCTGTGATGAAGAGTTTCCCCCATCTTTCAACCAAACGAGAAATTGTTTCCGCTTCTGAAACTTGTCAATCATTTCATTGTCAATCATTTTTCACTGTTCATTACCACTTTCGCAACCTTCAGCAAGGAAAAGGTCAACGTTTTCCGTGTGCTCAAGGGTCACTGCCGCGTCGAGACCATCGAAATCCTCGCAAGCTCTCTCGGTGAACAATCTAGAGTCGTTTTTGGTCTTTGTTCTTAGACTTGATTGTCATGATTTACAAATGGAAACAAAACCTTTCTAGCACACCAAATCTCTACCTTTTTGGTGCTTCACAAAGCAGCTAATTGAGAGAATTCGTTCTTAGAAGAATTAAAAGGTTTCTTAAAAGAGGTTTTACGAAAAGTTTCAAGAAGCAAACGACTAGATTGAGGAATAATAATATAGCTCATGTCATTTCGCGAGCCCTATCCAGTTGGCCTTCCCTCGCTAGTAACATGACGGCTCATTAGCAATTTGAATACTAGGTTGAGGAAAAATTCCTGACTCAGCTGCGAAAAATTCAATTTCTATGCGCATTTTAATCACAAAAATAAGAACAATTATTCCACAAAGTATATCCCATAATTATCTACGACTATCTAGTATTATCTACGACTTTCTTTCATCGATCTGCAAGCTTTCGGATCTGGTCGAGGTACCACTCCGTCGATTTCGAATCAAAGAACTCTTGGCAAGCTTCTTCAACTTCTTCAAATGACTCGAATCGGCGACCTTTCAGGAAATGCTGATTGGAAGAGACTGTAGTCGGATGAGGCAACGTCGGGACCGTAGGCAGGGTGCGGCAAAATCTCTACTCTCTCCAGTTCTAGCTCCAGCTCTCCAGCTCCAGCTCCAACTCTCCAGCTCCAGCTCCAGCTCTCCAGCTCCAGTCCCAGCTCTCCAGCTTCAGCTCTTCAAACTTTCTTTGGTCTTTTTGGCGGTGTGAGGCTTGTTGAAACAGAGCTAACTTTCGTCTGACCAACCTTGGGTATGTTTCCACCAGCTTGGCGTCTGAACAACCTTGGCTGACCAACCGTCTGACTAACGCAGTTCAACTGCTGACAATAGAGCTTACCATTTGGAACCAACTCAAAGTGTAAGACTCCTTTTTGGCAGCTGATTCAAAACTTTTCCTCAACTCAATATAAGAAAGTTTCGAGAAAAGAAAAGAAAAGAAAAGAAAACGAAAAAGATTCGTTTTCATAGCAGCGATCAAATACATCAAAAGCATTTAATCAATTGCTGATCAAGTGCTAAACTTACTCAATATTCTTGCCTATCGAACAATTCTCAATGATGTTGTCTCGAACATGTGCTGCTTTCAAATACCCAACTTTTAGGGGAAAAGCAGACTCCAGAAAATAAACAAAAAGTAGAATTTGAAAGAAATCGATATCCATTAGAGCAATTTTTGTCTATGGTCTATGGCTTTTTTTCTAGCGATTTCTAGCGATTTCTTCAACGATAGGAGATCAAAATTTAAGTGATTCTCGTCACGAAATGTTCTCCATTTCTTTCCAGAAAAGTTCCGCCTTTGAGTTGAGAATTGGAAATATATTTATTGAAGGAAATATCTTTGAAAAGACATCTTTGAAAGGATAACTTTGAAAAGATATCTTTGAAAGGATAACTGCAATGATAACTTTTAAAAGATCAAATCTTTGCTAGGATAACTTTTAAAAGATCTAATCTTTACAAGGATAACTTTAAAAAGATCTAATCTTTGAAAGGATAACTTTAAAAAGATCTAATCTTTAAAAGGATAACGTTAAAAAGAAATCTTTTACAAAATATCATTGAAAAAGTATCTTTATTGAATATAAAAGTATTCAGTCGATTCCAAATGCTTTCGATTTCCGAATCTTACACCACCAAACGAAGAAGAGAATGACTGAAAGTTTACCTGAATTACTTAGTCAAATTAAACTCTTTAGATCTATCCATAGGAGCTTTCTTTCAATTCTTATTAAGTAATAATTTAAACACTATCTAGATCGCCGGAAGTAAGGCCCTATTTGGCCCTATTTGGAGCTATTTGGTTTAGCTTACAGCCCTAGGACCTGCTTGGAACATTCTTAAATGATAAGGTTTAGTATTCTTGTACGATTCGATCGATTCGATCCATTCAACAGATTCGATCGGCCGTTTCAACTTGTTTCAGAAGATCACTACAGTTAGGTGTGCTAAATCACATAAGTAAGACTATTCCCAGCCTCCCAGACTATAAGACATAAAAGGACCGACATTTCCAACTCAGTGACAAAAGCCAAAAAGTTAGAATAGTCAGAAATACTACTATTGGGCCGGTGAATTGAAAGCTGCCGGCTATTGTCATATGTGACGGTTTGAGCACTTTCTTCAAAAGAAACCCATTTTGGTATCAATGGAAAAGTTGTAGAGAATCAAAAATCAAGCTTATATCCAAATTTCCAAAACCCAGAAAGTTGAAACAGAAGCAAATCTGGAAACTGGTGCTTTGCGGTTAACGGGAGTGCCAAGTTTTTGGTCAACTTGCAACCCGATTTTAGATAGATTTTTGTTAATAAGTTCTGATGAAACACATAGCTTCTGAAAGTTGACGTTCTAAGCTATCTAAATCTTGTTAAAACTTCCGGATCTGACAAGTATGAAGTGCTGAAAAATGGCCATAATCTCGGCACTCCCGTTAACCGCAAAGCATCAGTTTCCAGATTTGCTTCTGTTTCAACTTTCTGGGTTTTGGAAATTTGGCTATAAGCCTAATTTTTGATTCTCTACAACTTTTCTATTGACACCAAAATGGGTTTCTTTTGAAGAAAGTGCTCAAACTGGGATCTCCAGTCTCCATCTCCAGTCCTCCATTTTTGAGCCTCACACTTGTCTCACACACAAACCAAAATCCTACTACGAAAGAGGAATCCGCAAATTGCCTGTAAAATGGGCAGAAGTTGTCAATAATAATGGAAATTGTTTGGAATGAATTCATAGTTTTATGTTGAATAAATTTTAGTTCAAAGTCCGGCAGTTTTCAATTCATCAACCTAATAGAATACCACTTGGGCATCCAGCCCATTCAGTTCAAAATAGTTCAAAGCGTTGTTTAACAAAGTTCAAAACGTTGAAATTGGATTTTTTGGTGAAATGACAATAGTTTATCCTAATTTGAATAAGACAATTAATCATGTAGCTAGCTTGAAACTCACAAAACAAAAGTATAAAGCCGGAGACGATGAATGCGGGGATGAGTCCAGTTCTAATCGGATACGGACAACATGAAGGCATATCAACTTCCAGATAATAATACATACAGCAATAACTAAATTGAGATTGTAGGCGGTTATGTGAACGACTGATACTTATTGGTTATCTCCGCCGCCCCCAAAAGAAGAAATCAACCACTCGGTGGACTGAGATTTTCCCCACCAATGCTCTGGACTTGCTCTGAACTCTGACAATGCACCAATGCTTTGCTGGGGCAGTTAAATGCTAATTTTTGCGCATTTTTTGCTTACGTTGTTTGCATTGTTTGCTTACACAGCATAAATATAGTGAATCAAACTCGAAATAATGTAGCAGGGGGAAAAGGATAGGCAATTGAGACGGAGAAAGATAAGCATTTGAGATGGAAAAAGCTACTACCTGTCAAGACGGAAGCCCCACTCCAAATCAGAATATTCAAATTGATAAGTTCAAATTGAGGGGGAGATAAACCCCTCAATAGTAGGGGGAGATAACCAATAAGTACCAAATAGCTCTTGTACCTGTACTCGTCGGGATCGGTCGGTTGAGGGCAAAACGGTAGATAGCCTGGAATGGAATGGATAAGGTGACCGCGAATTATAGTGACAACTTTAAGGAAAGTAGCTGAGAAATGCCTAAATCTTTTCATCTTTTCATCTATTTATTCGTATGATAGTAATAAATTCTTCTGAATCTTTTAAGCAAAACCCAACCATCTCCATCAGGACACCAATTAATCCGTCTTCCATTCAAAACTCCCGGAATATGATCTTTCATAGTGGAAAATATTCTCGCAAAGTAAATCAAAGCCAAAATATTTTAAACTATTGATATGTAAAAGCCATTTCTTTGGGAATATAATGTTATGATTGTTATTCCATGATTCACCATTATGATTTTTATTCCGAATCCCTCTCCGATCTCCCTCCGATCTCTCTCCGATCCATAATTTATCACAACAAACTTTAAAAAAAGAAATTGATTCGAAAATTATTCCTTTATTTTATATATGTTGTGTCCGATTTAGATTTCCGTCCGATTTAGATTCAATCTAAATCGGACGTCCGATTTAGATTGAACTTATCGCGGACGTCCGATTTAGATTACAGTCTATATCGGACGTCCGATTTAGATTCAATCTAAATCTTATATGGATGTACAATAATATAAACATGCTTAATATATGTTCTTAGCGCTGTAGTTTTCTGCTTTTCAAAGTTTCATGATTACGTCTATATCGGACGTCCGAACAACGACTATACTTTGAAAGCGCGAAAATGCAAAAACGCTAAGCATATATTGCATGTTTATTTTTGTTCAATCCATATAAGTTTGTGTAATCGCGTCCGATAGACTTACTAAATCGGACGTCCGCGATAAGTTCACTTGGACGTCCGTTTAGTTGAATCTAATCGGCGGGCACATATATATTACGTTTTTTATTGAATTTCGTCCGTTTTTGAATTACCCAACCTACACTTTGACGATTTTTGAATGATCTATGATTGAATTGTTGTATTGAATTGAAATATGCTTGACTTTGTATTCATTCAAGCGCACAGGTCTAGCCACATCTAGTGAATTCAAAGCACACTAGTAATTCGTAACTATTAGGTTGGTGAATTGAAAACTGCGGGACTTTGAACTAAAATTTATTCAACATAAAACCATGAATTCATTCCAAATAATTCCCATTATTATTGACAACTTCTACCCATTTTACAGGCAATTTGCGGATTCCTTTTTCTCACAAAAACCTATTTTGATGTCAAAAGTTAAAAGATAGAGAATAAAAAGCTAGGCTGATAGAGAAATTTTTAGAGAAATTGATTCAACCGATTACATTCTGCGTTCATTATAAGGAAAAACAAGAATTCCCGTGTCGAATTTGCTTCAAAACAGAGACTCAAATTTGCCTAAACAAATGTGCTAAATGAAAAGGTTAAACTTTTTTTTAAAGCTATTTAAAGCAAAGCAAGCAATCTGTTCGGCACAATTATTCATTTATAAATGAAAATTTCAAAAAGACGAACAAGACTTTCCGGCCAAAACCAATATAAACACAAATTTTGATGTTTCATTTAAGCTATTGGGTTGGTGAATTGAAAACTCCGGGACTTTGAACTAAAATTTATTCAACATAAAACCATGAATTCATTCCAAATAATTTCCATTATTATTGACGACTTCTGCCCATTTTACAGGCAATTTGCGGCAATTTGCGGATTCCTTTTTCGTAGTAGGATTTTGGTTTGTGTGTGAGACAAGTGTGAGACTCAAAAATCGAGGACTAGAGATGGAGACTGGAGATCCCAGTTTGAGCACTTTCTTCAAACGAAACCCATTTTGGTGTCAATAGAAAAGTTGTAGAGAATCAAAAATCAAGCTTATATCCAAATTTCCAAAACCCAGAAAGTTGAAACAGAAGCAAATCTGGAAACTGGTGCTTTACGGTTCACGCGAGTGCCGAGATTTTGGCCAACTTGCAGCTCATTTTTCAGCACTTTATACTTATCAGATCCGGAAGTCTTAATAAGATTTAGATAGCTTAAAACGTCAACTTTCAGAAGCTATTTGTTTCATCAGAACTTATTAACAAAAACCTATCTAAAATCGGGCTGCAAAATGGCCAAATCGCCCCTGAAAACAGTGCTGAAAACGTTGTTTTTTCAAGCTCTCTTTTGCGCACCCGGTAATGTTTCAAAAATTAAAATAAATTTAAAAGGCAAATACACCATATTATAGAGCTTTTTTTAAGCTTTCAGAGCCACTATAACACTTCTAGTCTACGATGGAAAGGCTCGGAGTTAAAGCACCTTCAAAGATGGGGGAAAATTCACGAGGTGATAATCTTTTTTCCAGTACTGTATAAAAGCTCGTTTTTTAGCATAAAACAACATTAAATATGGGAAAACGTTAGAAAACGTAGAAAAACTTGAAAAAACATTATATATTTACATCAGATTCGTTTTTTGATCAAGCCAATAGCGTTAAATTTTGCAAGAAAAAGGAAATAACATGAAGAAAAACGTTTAAATTTATCTGAACCGTCTGAATTCTCTCGAATCGTCTGAATAGGACCAATCCTCGCATGAACTATTAGGGTGGCGCAAAAGAAACTGCCGATTTGACGGTAAATTCAAAACAAAAGATGGCGTTCGATGGTGACATGATCACAATGGAAAATTTTCGCAAGATCTCGAGCAGATTGGCATGGATCGGCCTGAATAACGTCCCTCAGCTTGGCTTCGTTCACTACTTCTGGCCTCGAACCGTGCTCGTAATCTTCTAAAGTCTCGTCTCCCTCTCGGAATCGTTGAAACCAAGTCTGACACTGCCTGAGAGACGAACTGCCATCTCCGAAAGCAGCACAGAGAGAACGATGCGATTCGACAGCAGACTTGGCTCCTTTTTTCTACAAATTTGGTTCCTTTTCTCTACAAATTTGGTCCTCTTTTCTCTTTTGGTTCCTTGCGAGACAACGATGCGATTCGACAGCAGACCTTCCAATTTTGAAGTTAAACAGTAATGCTGCTCGTAGCACAAACTTTTGCTCGACCATGATCTAAAAAAAATATAAGCATTTTTGAATAAAATAAACAACAACCAAAAAATTCAAATGTCGAAATAAATAGCAAAAAAATATGCGAACAAAACATAAAAAAAATAATGCCGTTAGCATCGCTCGTTTCTGATAAATGAGAGCTGATACCCATCGGCAGTTTCTTTTGCACCACCCTAATAGAACGCCACCGCTTGTACAGTCGCGTAGTTTAACTTTAGGATGTTCTATTAGGGGATTTACGGTTGGCACCCATTAATCCATAACGATCACTGTTATTTTACATAGTTAGCATCGCTCGTTTCTGATAAATGCGAGCTGATACTCATCGGCAGTTTCTTTTGCACCACCCTAATAGAATAAAATCGAAAAGTGCGCTAAAGTGCCATTTTGACTATATAAAAACGGCACTTTAGCGCACCACTTTTCAAAGACGTTTTTCTCTACGTTCTTACAGATGAGTGTACAAAATAAAGAGCTAAAAACTAGTTATAAGTTAGTTTTTATTCAAAAACAAACTTCTTCCAAGTCAGTAATTAAAATAATTACCCATTTTCAAGCAAAAAAAAAGTCAATCAGAATCAGGCTAAGAATTTTTGACTTACTATCGCTTGAGAAATCCCGAAAAGCTAAGAAAAGCTATAAGAAATCTTTCTTTTTTTCTCTTTTTTTTGCAAATTTACATTTATATTAATGTGAAATATTGATTGAGATTGATAATATTCAAATAAAATCTTTATTTCTTAAAGATTAAAGATTACGAAATTACTACGAAAGTTTCCTCTACAAACCGAGCACTATCACAGATTGTTATCGAGCCTAGACACGAATCAAAAGCGTGGAATTGTTTTTTTTTTTGATAAATTGGAATGATAATTGTTGAAATATTGAACTTAATGTCTAGCAACAATATGATAAACAGTTCGATCATTCAATTTTTGAACCGGGCGGAAGTTTTTCTTCAAGCAAACGTGCTCGCTGTCTTTCAAGTTGCGGAGGAGGTCGAGCTGGAAATTTGAGAAGGTTTCTGGTACAATTTTGTCTTAATCCAAGTAAGGATCAGAAAATTCTAAGAAATCCAACAAGGGAACCAGAGCCCGGACATTGTTTAGTTGGAAATAGAGTGTTTCTGATGTTTCTAATACTATTTTTATGTTTCTGATGCTGTTTTTGATGTTTCCAATGCTATTTCTGATGTTTCTGATGCTGTTTTTGATGTTTCTGATGTTTCTAATACTATTTGTGATGTTTCTGATGCTGTTTTTGATGTTTCCAATGCTGTTTCTGATGTTTCTGATGTTTCTGATGCTGTTTTTGATGTTTCCAATGCTATTTTTGATGTTTCTGATACTGTTTCTGATGTTTCTGATGTTTCTGATTTCACGGTGATTCCGAATCTGTAATTAGAAGTTCCTAAAGTCTCAAGCAAAAAAAGATATGCTACTTTTTCTCTTCCTACATTTTGACAGCGAAGGAGATCGAGTTCCTTTTAACGAGCGCGCAATAAGGCCCTTCTTCACGCCTTCCTTCCAACTGCCTCGATGGCCTACTGGTTAATGCGCTCGTGTCATGGGCGAAATGGCACCGCTTTGCCCGGGTTCAACCCCTCGTTCAGCCAGTTTTGATTTTTTTGTGTCAAAATGGTGAGGTTCCATTGTAAACAATGCTTGAATGTTAGCTTTATAAACCAAATATAATAATTAGTTTGTTAGCTTATAAATTATATAAATTACTCTGTTGTTAAATTATTAAATTACTAAATTATATGAATTTATACGCCAAATACTTGATCATTATTTAATAATTAAAAGAAAACTCTTTTAACTATTCAATAAGGTCAAAACTCAAATCTTTTCGCTATGAGATCTTTAAGCTTTTTAAATCTCTTAACTTTAAGCCTTTTAGCCACTTTTAGACTCGGTTTATCTTTGTGTTATCCCTGGTTTACTTTACTTTACTTTACTTTCCTTGTTTTACTCAGTTTACTCACTTGTTGACTCGTGACATCAATAGGCTCCGTGAAGAGAGTCCATGTGACAATCTCACTGCATGGTGGAGTGGTCAATGAGCCCTCGTAGCGCCAGAATGAGGTTCGATTTTTCGGCAATTTGTTACCAATCGAGATATGATCAAGAGTAGTGGTTGAGCCTATTTGAATGTCGATAGAGCTCTTCTTTCTTTCCCCCAACCTGGCTCAATGATATGGCGGAGTGCTTGTTCTTCTTCAGCCAAAGCTTTTCCCTCTTGACCGACTCGGAGAAAAACTCCGACAACAGCCAAACGATCGGGATTTTCGATGCCTTGATGGACGAGGTGAAGCTCGGCCGGATAGGACAAGCCACCAACTCGGTGCTCGGCTCCTGAAAAGCTGGGTTTTCAAGAGAAGAGATTTGTTTCTCGGAATTTGATAAATGCAAAGTTGTAGAAGAAACAATGCTCAAAGAACTGATGAAAAAAAGAAGCAAACTACAGCGAAAGTTGCGGCGAAAGTTCTGTCCTTTTTGAAGCCTCTTTAAATTCTCTGATTGTTATTATTTCATAAGTGTTTATAGCCAAAATATAGCCAATCTTTTACAGAATTTAAATCTTATTACCCTTTTTAAATAGCTCTTTTAGATTTTGAGTTATCGCTTTTCGAAAAAAGTATCTGTTATCTGTTTTTGTTTTTAAAAAAGTATCTTTTTTTGCGCTTTTTCACTACAGGCTTTCATTGGGTCGCATCCGTTTCCTTCCTATTTGCGTTCCTATTTTGCAATTATTCGCGTCGCATTTTGGTTTTTCTCTTGCTTCCCGAAAAATGTTTTTTTCGTCTGGGCCTTCGTTCTTAGGAGACTTTCATGTTTTTGCCTTCGTTCTTGGGGGACTTTCATGTTTTTGCCTTCGTTCTTGGGGGACTTTGATGTTTCTGTCTTCGTTCTTGGGGACTTTGATGTTTCTGCCTTCGTTCTTGGGGGACTTTGATGCTTCTGCCTTCGTTCTTGGGGGACTTTGATGTTTTTGCCTTCGTTCTTGAGGACTTTGATACTTCTATTCATGCGCATGCTGTTTTTGTAATGGGTATCGTTGCAATTTTGGTTCTGTACTAATAAACAGTAAAATTATAAATTCAATTTACTTTACGCTACCCTTCAGGTTTTAAATCCTGTTTAGATAGCTGGTTTAACATTGTAGAAAGAACCTAGTAAATATTTGTGTCGCCACCGACGAACTGTCAATCCGTTCTGTATCCGTTCTGTACTCTTATCACGAGTATTAATCTTATGTTGGATGCTGCGTGTTCTTGTTATGTTGTAAGCGCTTTGGGGAAACCCTTTTAACCTTTTTGTGCTAGTCGGCTATTCTGAAGCGTCTCGATGATAAGGTTAAACTATTGGATTTCCATAAAAATTGGAAACTTATTGAAAATTGTTGTTGTATTTCTTGTTTAAAACAATCTTTTGAATACTCTTAATCATCTGAGTTCGTAGTTTGACAGATTTTCTTATACTGGTAATACTAATAACTTGTGCGAGCTCGCACAGAGAGCTCACGCAAATTGTGATAACTCAAAATTTAAAAGAGCTATTGAAAAAAGGTAATAAGATTTAAATTTTGTGAAAAATTGGCTATCTTTTGGCTATAAACACTTATAAAATAATAACAATCAGAGAATTTAAAGAGAATTTTAAAAGAACAGCACTTTCGCCGCATCCTGTACATGCAAAACCGTAACAAAACCGACTTTCCACTACTTTACTCAGCTATCAATTGAAATTCTGAACGTATTCTTACAAGAGTTGAATGAGCAATGGTTAATTTTAACGGTATTTATCAAATCATCTTCCCATTTACCCTCATTCGCGTGTGCTCCCCAGTGGAAATGGTATTGAACAAGGCGATACACTTGATCAAGACCTCCTCCATAAATCTCCGGATGCTCGACAGCTTCCTCGGGAACGATTTGGACTAGAATCTTCTTGTTTTTTGCAAATTTTCGTTTATTTACCCGAATGTCCATTGTTGACAATGGATCCCTTAAGGATTTTATCGTAATTCACGAATTTGATCGCATCAACGGTATCCTTTCGCTCAACGCCACCCAAATCGATATCGATCGGCGATTGGTGTTGCCCGTGTGCGCCTTCCCAGTTAATGGGTCCTAGAATACGCTTTGAATTTGATATTGAGCTTGAATTTTTGGTTTGAATGGTTAGGAATTGAGTTCTAGAGTTTACTGTACTTTCTATGCACTAAGTTGTCACTTTTCATTAACTATAAAGTTCCAAAAACATTCTTCTCCAAGAAAACGAAGCACTACCGAAAATACTGTGATAGTACCCCACCCCCTCGTACAGTCGCGTCGTCGCTAGTCGCAAAAGTTTTTTAGTATTTTTCAAAGCGCCCGTACTTTCAAAAAATGCGTCTTTGGTATCAAAAAATAGCCCTGAAATTCAGGGCTATTTTTTGATACTTAAGCGCGCATTGTAGCATAAACCAGTGTCGAGAAAAACTCGTTCAAAGCTAGACTACCCAACACTCCGCACCGTCATTATCGGGGTGGGGTACTATTACAGTATTTACGGTAGATTCACTAGAAAGGGTGTGTTTCTATTTTTCAGCATAAAGTACAAACTAAAGAATGAAAGCTAAGTGTTTTGTTCCCAAAAAATAAAACCAACCACACTCTCCATCCTCACAATAGTTCCAGTGACCTAAAAAATAATCTATAAGAGATTTATTATAGTTGGAAGAGCAGAGCAAAAAGTGGGGCAGAGCAAAAAGCTCTGCGCCGGCAGGATTCGAATCCGTGGCCTTTCGCTTACCAGGTAACTGTGCTAACCATTACAATAGAAAGAATTTGTTCTGCTTTATTCCATAGGGAGTTAAGTTTATCTCAAAAGTTTACCAGTCATTATATTCTTCTTTTCGATTTTGTAGTCTGGCTTCTGGTAGAGAGAGTAGATCTCCTGAAAAATTAAATTACAAAAAATACAAAGAAAAAGCTTTCTCAAAGAATTTAGAAAAGAAATTTTGATTTCAATTTATCTATTTATCGATTTATCGATTTATAGCTTTATTTACAACTTTATTTAAAGCTTTATTGATAGCCTTATTTATAGCTTTATCTATAGCTTTATTTAAAGCTCTATTTAAAGCTTTATTTATATCTTTATTCAAAGCTTTATTTAGAGCTTTATTTAAAGCCTTATTTAAAGCTCTATTTATAGCTTTATTTAAAGCTTTATTTATATCTTTATTCAAAGCTTTATTTAGAGCTTTATTATCTGGCCACCAGTTTTCATTCGATCAGCCCTAATTTTGGTCGAATTCGATGGGAATGAAACGTTGTCTATTCGAGACTTGGCTTTTAGCCTGGTCGGATTAAGTTCACAAGAAAGTTCACAAGAAACAGATCCAATACGGTTCCTTTTGATCTAATACGGTTCCAATACGGTTTATTTATAGCTTTATTTATATCTTTATTTAAAGCCTTATTTAAAGCCTTATTTATACAGTACTGGACAATGAAATATGGTATTTGAAAAACGATCGTCACTTTCGCGCGTCTGTAACTCCCTTGTCTTTGAGTTTAAACTATTAGTGTTATACATTTTCTGAAAGCTCTTTTCAAGGGCTACACAATGGTAATATTAGTATTTAGAAATACGGTAAAGACAAGGGAGTTACCGACGCGCGAAAGTGACGATCGTTTTTCAAATATCATATTTCATTGTCCAGTAGTGTAGCTTTATTTAAAGCTTTATTTTAAAGCTTTATTTAAAGCTTTATTTGTATCTTTATTTAAAGCCTTATTTAAAGCTTTATTTAAAGCTTTATTTAAAACTTATTCAAGTTTTTATATAGTTTTTTAAGTTTATAAGCTCAAAAAAACATTTTTGACAAATTTTCTAGTCTAAATTGAGCTCAAATTTCCCTTTCCTTTTCTTAACGACTCCATAAATCGAAAGTGGCCAATAAATTTTTGAGAGAAAAAGTGCAGATCAAAGATCATCTTTGATCAAAGCTTTCAATTAAAGAAGTGTGTTTTTTAAAATGAAATTCAAATGAAAATTGAAAACCTTTAAAGCTGAAGCTTTAAAAAAGCTTTAAAAAAGCTTTTAAAAGAGCTTTTAAAAAAGCTTTTAAAAGAGCTTTTAAAAGAGCTTTTAAAAGAACTTTTAAAACAGCTTTAAAAGAGATTTTAAAAAGGCTTTAAAAAAGCATTTAAAAAGATCTGGAATTTGTTCAAAACTAGGAAGAATTAAGAAAAATTGATAAGAAAAAGCACGACTGAGTTGTGGTGTGGCAAAGACAATAAAAACGTATGCTTTTTAGCCCTTTTTTTGATAGGAAAATTTTGAAATCAATAAAGCAAAAGAGTCAGTTTTAAAAAGGTTCAAGTTTAGCGTTGATTTGACAAGAAAAATTTCAATTTTATTGAATTTTATCGTTTTTTAGTTCATTTACAGTGTACTCTGTGTTCAAAAATAGAAATTCATTCTTTCTAGACGTATTTCTAGACGTATTTCTTAATTCTCTCGAATAACATTTTGATTTCTCTTCGAATAACAACTGGAAAAGGATGAAGGATGAAATAACAGCTTTGAAAGGTAATGCCTCACTGGAAAAGGTAGTTTTACAGTTTTAAGCACAAAGTACACCAGTAATTCGTTGTTGAAAGCTTTTGAGCTTGAGCTGAGCTGAAGCTTTGAGCTTGAGCTGAGCTGAAAGCTTTGAGCTTGAGCTGAGCTGAGCTTAAAGCTTTTGAGCTTGAGCTGAGCTTAAAGCTGTTGAGCTTGAGCTGAGCTTAAAGCTTTGAGCTTGAGCTGAGCTGAGCTTAAAGCTGTTGAGCTTGAGCTGAGCTTAAAGCTTTTGAGCTTGAGCTTGAGCTGAGCTTAAAGCTTTTGAGCTTGAGCTTGAGCTGAGCTTAAAGCTTTTGAGCTTGAGCTTGAGCTGAGCTTAAAGCTGTTGAGCTTGAGCTGAGCTTAAAGCTTTGAGCTTTTGAGCTGTTGAAAGCTTTTAAGCTTAAAGGAAAGCTGTAAAGCTGAAGAAAATAAAGCTGAACTTTTGAAATCTCCTTTGAAATCAATCTGAAATCAATCTGAAATCTAAAACGTCAACTTTTTTAACTATACAAATCAAAAATCTAATTCTAGAGAGATTCTAAAGGGATTCTAAAGGGATTAAGAAAGAAAAAAATTTCCGACCATGTTCTGAAGAAGGTTTTAGGTGAACGGGAGTCCCAAGTGGGTCCATCTCTCTCTTCAATGCATATCCTTCAGTCCACACATGTGCTTTCCTTGCTTTCACTCTCCCCAAACATTTCTTTCATCTCGTTTTTTTTTTCTCGAGAGAGTTCATCCTCCTTTTTCTCTTGAGACCCCAGGGAAACCCTTTTCTATTAAAAGGGGAAATTTGGGGGGAGAATCGGACCATCTTTCTTCATTTTCCCTAACATCAATCTCCCCAATTTGATTGAGTTTCCAGAGGAAAGTGAGGAATTGAGTTTCCAGAGGAAAGTCCACTGCCCTTGCACATTTTTGAACTTTTCTAGAAGTTGATCTAATAGAAAACTTTAAGAAATGGATTGATGTTTGTAGAAAATCTAAAAGACTAACCAAGGTCCTCTAAAACTAACTAAACTCCAAGACTAACTAAACTCCAAAACTAAATTAAAGAAAAGGCTCCAACAAAAAGCCCCAAGAAAAAGCTCAAAGAAATAGCTCAAAGAAAAAGCTCAAAGAAAAAGCTCAAAGAAAAGGCTTCTTCAGATCTTACTAGAGAAGGGAACTAGATCACTGTGAGGTTATTCAACAACATCTAGCTCATTTGATAGGAAATCGAATTGTGATTCTGAATCTGTAATCAAAATCTGCGAAATCGCAAACACAAGATCTTTGGGTCGAAATTTCATTTCCTTGTCATTTTGTAATTGTTTTTGGCCCTTTCTTGAAACAATGAATTAGACCATCTTCCAATTCAAATCCGTGCACAATTTTTGTAAAAAATAAATGATCCTGTACACTCTTAAGACTAGTTTATTTAATGAATGATCCTATACACTCTTAAGTGTATAGGATTGTATAGGATTTAACGGCAGTTGTGGTCTAGTGGTTTGTGTTTTCTGTTTTAGTGAATTGAGTTTTCTATTAGATCAACTTCTAGATGGTCTACGAAACTAGTCCAACTTGTATATGGTTTTAGTTTTAGTATATGGGAAAGAAGTAAGAGAGCTTAAGAATGATACTTCAATTTGAGTGGGCAACAGGCTTGTTGCTAGACCAACAATTACCCAATTTCAAAGCCTTTTCATCTGCGGCTTGGCTTGGCTTGGCTTGGCTTGGATTGGCTTGGATTTGCTTGGCTTGGCTTGGCTTGGCTTGGATTGGCTTGGATTTGCTTGGCTTGGCTTGGCTTGGCTTGGATTGGCTTGGATTTGCTTGGCTTGGCTTGGCTTGGATTGGCTTGGATTTGCTTGGCTTGGCTTGGCTTGGCTTTGCTTGGCTTTGCTTGGCTTTGCTTGGCTTGGCTTGACTTTGGCTTGGCTTTGACTTGGCTTGGCTTGGCTTGGCTTGGCTTGGCTTGGCTTGGCTTGGCTTGGCTTGGCTTTGGCTTTGGCTTGGCTTTGGCTTGGCTTGGCTTGGCTTGGCTTTGCTTGGCTTGGCTTGGATTGGCTTGGATTGGCTTGGCTTTGCTTGGCTTGGCTTGGCTTGGCTTGGCTTGGCTAAACCAACTATAGCTTCTAGCCGATTTCTTGAAGACTTGAAATCCTGTACAAAGTCTCATATTGAAATTTTCTCCTAGAAGTCTCCAATTTGTTCTAGAGAGTGTGATTCCCGTAAATGTGATTCCCGCAAACGCATCCTTTCTAGTGCACTAGGCTAAAGTTTAGTGCGCTAGAAAGGATGCATTTTTGAGCGTAAAGTACGGATCTCAAGAAATGGGAGTTGAAGAAGCTGAAGAGAAGAGAGAAAAGAGAAAAGCTGAAGTAATATTCCCTCGTTTGCCATCTTAACTTTGAAAACTAGAGGCTAAACAAGTTCTAAATACTTAACTAGAGGCTAAACAAGTTCTGAACACTTAACTAAAGGCTAAACAAGTTCTAAACACTTAACTAGAAGCTAAACAAGTTCTACTAATGCTTTCTTTTCCTAGATTCTAGATTTCTAGATACTTTTTTCCTTTTGAAAGCAATTTCTCTGATAGTTGAACAGGTTAGCTGTCTGTTAGCTCAAAAATCGAAATCAAACCTTTGTCAAAATATGCATCGTGGCTAGCATTTCGCGCAATAACTTTTTAGAGTGAAGAAATTGAAGAAATTGAAGAGATTTGAAGAAATATCTTGTGATTTTTCCCCAAATTTCTTTCTTTTTATATAGTCGATTAGAGAGGTTGCAAAATCAAACAAATATTGGCTCAATTTCGTTCGAAATCGCTTCATTTCGTTCCCTATTTGATCCTTTTAAGGGTCGTTTTTCAAAGTTGATTTTCAAAGGTACAACTCGTGAGTTTTTTCTCAAAGAAAACTTTAGCAGACAATTTTCGAAAAACAAGAAAATCAAAGACACATGACTAAAAATGGAGAAGTTTGTTTTTGAAAAGTTTAGAGATCTTCGGCAAACAGTGATCGCTTTGAAAATGCTCGACTCCAATGTCACTCCAATGTCTCTTTTGAGGGAAAATGACAGAGATCACTGGGAAAGTCGTCGTCAGATAAGTCGTCAAATATTCAAATCCGATTTACGAGGTTGAACTCGCAAAAAAGGGAGAGGAGAGTTTGAAAACCAAACGATTAGTTTTGAAGAGAGAATTTCAATTCCGATTTTAAGTAGATAATAGATTTATCGAGATTGGGAAACGTTTAAAAAAGAATACAAAAGAAAGAAGTTTCAAAGAGATTCAACAAATCGATTCAAGGAAAGATTCTAAGATTCTTATAAGAGCCGTGTTGGTTTAGGTGACTTGTTTTCCGTTAGTACCGACTGATTTAACTGGGCCTATAATTATGACGCACCTTGTAAATCAAGCATACATTGTACATTGTTATCTGTACAGTGTACATTGTTATCTATACATTGTACGTTATTATCTGTACATTGTACATTGTGATCTATACATTGTACATTGTTATCTGTACATTGTAGATTGTTATCTGTACATCGTACATTGTTATCTATAGATTGTACATTGTTATCTATACATTGTACATTGTGATCTATACATTGTACATTATTATCTATACATTGTACATTGTTATCTATACATCGTACATTGTTATCTATACATTGTACATTGTTATCTGTACATTGTACATTGTGATCTATACATTGTACATTATTATCTATACATTGTACATTGTTATCTGTACATTGTACTTGGTTATCTGTACATCGTACATTGTTATCTATAGATTGTACATTGTTATCTATACATTGTACGTTATTATCTATACATTGTACATTGTTATCTATACATTGTACATTGTTATCTATACATTGTACATTATTATCTATACATTGTACATTATTATCTATACATTGTATATTGCTACCTATACATAGTACATTGTTATCTGTACCTTGTACATTGTACATTGTCATCTGTACATTGTACATCGTTATCTATACATTGTACATTGTTATCTGTACATTGTACATTGTTAGCTAGAAAAACTCTTGCATTAGAGTTGAGTGGCTTGAGCAAAAAGCAAAGAAAGAAGCTTGGGGATGAAATCAAAAACGCTCTATTGGAAGTTGCATTTTGAAGAGGTTTTCTAATAAAATCTGAAAATATTCATATTATATGTTCTATGGGAAGTCAGAAAGAAAAGCATGAATCAAAAGAGAGTCTCCGATAAGCCGTCCCAAGAGACACACATGAAAAAAAGAGTGACCAAGAAAAGAGTGTGGAGGCCGAGCCTCCCCTTCCCGAATTTTAGTTCTTTTTGAGCTTCGAAGAAAAGAATTCTTTTCTTATTTACGTCAATTTTAAAGAAAGAAATCTTTTTAGAACTTTTTAAGCTTTTTAAGCTTTATCTTTTTAAGCAAAGCTTTATCAAGACTTTAAGAATGACAATTTCAAAAAGTGTTTATCACAAAAACGAGTCGTTTTCTTCCAGAAAGTGGGAAGTTTGCAAAGCGGTAATTGAATTCGACTTCTCTAACATGAAAAGAAACATGTGGAATAGGAAATAGTTTGAAATAAAAGATACATTTATTGAAAACCAATAAACCAATAAACCAACATGAAACAAACAAAGGATACAGAATAAGACATAAAGGTTTAAACGCACAATTTTATGGCACTGCCGCCATCGTTACCCCTATTATCCCTATTAATTTGTTGTTGTAACGTTGCAAAAGCTTTGTTGTAAAAGCAAACGTTGTAAAAGAAAAAAAAACCACACTTGGTGAGAAAAAGAAACAATTTTGATCTTGTTAACGTGATTGAACCATCGAGCCTCCGCTTAAGAGGCAAGACTCCTAGCCGGTCGGCCATCTAGTCAAAGTGAATATTTTCTCTGATAGTAGTGCACCCCAGCGAGCCGAGTTGATGACTATTTAACAGCTCCAAAGCTTTTCAGCTCCAAACAGATCTCATCTGCTACATTTTCACCCCACCGATAGGTTGAAAAAGTTTTCGAGATTTGGATAAGGGGGTTTTAGAGAGAATAAGTTTTCAGTGTTAAAATTGCTCCCGCCTGGTCGTTGTGAGAAAAAGCGTCAAGTAGTGCGTCTTTTTATTGAATAAAAAAATTTACATTTCTCTTCTTTTTTTTTTTTTCTTATAAAATTTACAAAGTAAAAAAAAAGTTTTCCTAAGTAGGCACCCGGCCGGGGGGGTTTCTCAGAAGCTCAACACTCTAATCCCCCACAACATCTCATCGTCAGCTACATTCTCCGACCTCACATCGATAGGTTCTGATAAGCGGTTCTCGAGATTTCCAGCAATTTAGGCAACGCTCAGGGTGCACTACTATTAGAGAAAATACGGTACTGAAGGAGATTTTTTAAATCGAGATTTTAAACCTTTCTGACTTTATTTTTTTGTTGGGTACATAATTTAAGTGCTTTACCGTATTTATCCTAAAAGAATGCCCATGGGTTTTCTATTTTTCAACCTCCCAAAATCGGCCGGCCGAAAAAGTAGGTACGGGTCCCGGAGATGAATCAAAAATTTAGAAATTGTTAAAAATTATCCCCATCATCTTTCCCTTTGTCATTCTTTTGCGAACCTTATTATTGATTTGATTTGATTTGAGGATTCCAGGAATCAGACAAGTTTTTTTCAATTTTCCATTTCTATTATCGAATTTGATTTATTATTTTATAAAATAGGAGCCAAATAGGAACTATAAAGGAACTATAAAGGAACCAAATAGGAACTACAAAAGAACCAAATAGGAACTAAATAGCAACTAAATAGGAACGATAAAGGAACCAATAGGAACATCTTCGATTACAGGAATAAACTTTGGAATAAGCTTTGGAATAAGCTTTGGAATAAGCTTTGGAATAGGCTTTGGAATAAGCTTTGGAATAGGCTTTAGGCTTTGGAATAGGCTTTAATAAGCTTTGGAATAGGCTTTGGAATAAGCTTTGGAATAAGCTTCTACGATGTTAATGATAATCCGTTAATTTTTAAACGTTTTCAATTTCCTGTCAGACATTTGCAATTAACAAAAACTAAGGAAAAACAATATTTAATCGAGTTGGAGTTTGGTTGAATGACAAAATCTTTTTCATATGGACGTTATGCTGCTTTGAGCCGAGCTAGATCTAAAGAAAGACTCAAAATTCAATCAAAAAACGAGCTAAAAACGCGCAACACAAAAACAGAAAAATTGTGGTGACTGCCTTCTGGCTACTGGCCTATTACCGAGCACCGAATTTAGTATTTAGTGCCCTCTCCCCCTCCTCTGGTCGAGCCGAGTTGGTGACTATTTTACAGTTCCCAAGCTTTCACAGAAGCTCAACACTCAAATCCCCCACAAGATCTCATCGTCAGCTACATTTTCCGACCCCACATCGATAGATTCTGATAAGCGGTTCTCGAGATTTCGAGGAATTTAGACGAAGCTTTGGGTGAGAGAAAATACGAGATTAGAGATCTCGATTAGAGAAAATACGGTACTGAAGGAGATTTTTTAATTCTAGATTTTAAACCTTTTTGAATTCTGAGCTTATTCCTAACTTTTCTCTCTTCTTAATCTTTCGTTAATTCATTTAAAGTTCTTCTTAAAGATTTGTGTACTTTGTGCTTAAAAATAGAAACGTATCTTTTCTAGCGTGCTTTATTTTAAGTTTTTATGCCAATTCTCCATCAAGAAAGGTGAAAAGACAATGAATTGAGTATGCCAGAAAGAGTTTGTTTAGATTTGAGCATAAAGTACCTCTTTTTTTCGACTCACCCTCATCTTTTAATGAAGGAAATTGACGGAATCTCAAAAGTTTACAGAATAGGCAAATATTTGATTTTATTCGATTTAGAAAACGAATAAAATAGAGCCTTTTGGGAGAAAAGCCGCTTTTCAGAAGGTTTTTAGACCTTTTTCCCCGTTTTTTTCCAATTCCGATCGCATTTTTCATTCTTTTCGGTGATGTTTTGGTGACTTTTGAGTCTTTTGGAGTTTCCTCTACATTCTTGAGCAAATAAAACATAAAACTTTCAAATAGACCACCACCATTTGTTAAGTGCAAACTTGTGCAAGTTTTTCGACGCCTACACAAGAATGTCGGCTGGTTTTTAGATGATTCTGCAAAATTTGAAAAATTTTCCGATCAAGTTGGTCCTGGGATTCGAGCCCGTGACCCTCGGCTTACTGGGCGAGCGCTCTACCACTGAGCTACACCGGCACGTGGCCCGTTGCCGCCAGGAAAGGGTTTTAACCCTTATTTTGAATAACAGTTAAAAAGCCATTTCTTCTCCAAATCTATACATTCGTAAAGAAATTGAGAATCTTAAAAGGAAAAACTTTAAATGTAAATGAACTTTGTGCTCAATGTTTGTAAACACTCCTTTTCTTGTGCATCCTTCTCTAGTGTATCCTTTTCTGGTGCATTCTTCTCTGGTGCATCCTTGTCTAGTGCATCCTTCTCTGGTGCATCCTTCTCTAGTGCATCCTTTTCTGGCGCATCCTTCTCCAGTGCATCCTTCTCTAGTGCATCCTTGTCTAGTGCATCCTTCTCTGGTGCATCCTTCTCTAGTGCATCCTTCTCTAGTGCATCCTTCTCTAGTGCATCCTTCTCCAGTGCATCCTTCTCTAGTG